TGTAGATTGGATTTTGCAGAACCTGGGGCTCCCTTGTGAAACTGCATAACTTCAACGTGACAAAGATGCCACAGGATTAGGGCATCTTTCTGCAGAGAAATTCTGCTGCCTGGAAGGATTCTGGCTTGAGAAATCTTGATTGCTTGAAGAGTTGAAATGAATAAAGGAATGAAGCTTGAGGTTACAGAATTGAAAATGGAAGTCCATCCTTCTACGCTTTAGCATGTCTTTATGAATATTTTTATTTCTTTAAGTAATAAACCTGTATTCTATCATCATTTACCTTTAGAAAAAAATCATTATATGAAGTGCTTAAGATTTTCTGCTTTTAGATTCTCTTTTGGCAGAAGGGTGGGTTTTTTCTAGTGGAAGGACTCTTAAGCTTTAATGTCATATTTCAAAAGAAATTTTCTTCCTGTCCTTTGCTCCTTCTCTTTGACAGCCATCATTGCTGAGTAATGCCCAGGGTCATACTTTTGAAAAGCAAATTATTCCTTTGCAGCATTTCTGCACAACCTATGGCAGAGTGTATATCCAAAGGACTAGGCACTTATCCTTTTATAAGATATAGGTTGAATTCTGTAACTGATGTGCCTGGCACAAGAGTTAGGTGCAGATCACTAAAGAAATATGAAAGGGAAAATCAGCAGCTGTAGAAATGGATTTAGGAATATACACATACATTCACATGTATATACAATTTTAGAATATTAAGCAAGAAATGCATTAAATGTAAAGTAATTTGTTCCAGAGAAAAACATACAGTGAGCTATTAATCCACGTCATTTTTTGCTTGGACAAAACTCCAGACTGAGCCAAAATCTTCGCTTTAGAGTGCAGAGAGCTTCAATTGAAGTCAGTTGACCCAAGGTATCAAGGATAAATATAGTGTGGCTAAAAAGTCCTGAAATAATGTCTATATAGCACTTCTTTTCCTAAGAGGATTTATTACTAGAACAAAGTCACTCAAAACAAACAAACAAAAAAATCCTTCTCACATCTCTTGGCAGAACATCAGATATTTTAGTAAAATACAGTAATTTTCTCCTGCAACAACTTTCAACTCTTAGCTTAGTGCAAAAAGTCACTAGCATTCAGCTCATATTCAGTGACAAAATTGGACCAATGTCTCTAATGAAACAGCATAAATATGGCATTGCAGAATGATTGTCCAGTTCATTCCTTGCTAAATCCTGCTTCCACAAAATTAACGAATCCTTTTAATTGCCAGGAGAGCAGAGGTGGAAATTTAATTCAAGAGATAATCCTTGTTAAACAGTAGGTTTGTTACCACTGAAGATGACAGATTAACAAATCCTGACTTTGACAGTTACAATTTTTTTTTGGTCATATGGCAGGTCTTTACAAGGACCTTAAAATCTTCCCTGTTGATAATTTGATTTCTACTTCCTCCTTTTGTTCCAGCACTTTAGTTCAACCGGTTTTATGGCTGTCCAACTTAAAAATATGACTAGTTGGTATACGACATGTTATCTCTGCAGTATATGAACCTATTTTGATTTCTACAGCACTGAGTCAGCATTCTGATGAGTTAGCATTTATATTCCCGACAGCTGTTTATTCCTTTCAATGTAATTTCAGAGATAAATGTCCAGAAGGGATTTTCTGCCCTAGATCTATCAGAAAACATATTTAAGATATTCTCTGGTATTTAAATCATTAAAAAAAAATTAAAAAATCAGTAATGCTATGGCAAAAAGTGTTTAATTTTTAACATTAACTAACTAATTTAAACCTTACTATATTATTTGGAAATATAATGCGGTAAAAAGTTAAAGTATTTTTATTTTCTATGCAAAATCACTTCAGTGGTTTCTAAGGACAACATAAATTTAAGAAACATACTGAAATGTCCAATCAGTATTTTTATTTTACTCCTTTTATCCGTTAATGATTTTGATCATATGTGGTGGCAATGAATTCTGCAGATTACTTATGATTTTGATAAAATAACTAAAAATAATTGCTCTGTTCTCTATCCTTTCAAACTCCATTTTTTCTTGTCTGGGGACAAAAAGTAGAAAGTGATTCTTGATATAACTTCTCTAAAAGTTCATTTCATATCCTCTATTACTTACCTTTTGCTTTTTCCTACTGTCTAGTCTAAATCAAATGGTCCCTTTTCCAAACTCAGAAAGAAAGATATCTTTGCTTACTAGAGCAATAATATATGTTGCCTAATATTTTTCATTTTATTCTTATTGATTTTTTATATTTCCTCTTTTCCGGGATAAGTAGTAATAACAGTAAACAGCATTACAAAAAAGAGGTTTTTTTCAGTAGACTCTAATATTTTGGCTGCTATAGACCACCAATCATCATTTTTTACTGAGCTTTCTGTATTACTGGCAAGTACTGTGGTACTTCCCAATAAAGATAACAAAGATAATAGGCCAAATTAACTTGCAGGTGATCCATTAATCTCAGTTATCTCTGTGTCCATAAGTGATCAGACAAAGCAATGAACAAAACCATCATGGTTACTACACCAGTAGACTTTTAAAATACTAGCAGTACTTGTGATGCTAAACTCCTTAACAAAACACCAAAACTTGAAAGTTAGTACCCTATAACTTTTTTCCCATATCCTCACTTAAGTCAATAAACGAGGTTAAACAGGATGTAAAAATCTTCATCCATATTTACCATTAAAACATAAGCTATGTGGAAGACTTGACTGTGAAAAAAAAACTGTCTTGAATCCAAGCAGGCAAGATCATTTATATGGCTGTGACATATATACCATAAAGAAAAATGTTTAAGTAGAAAATAATAATCTCTTTGATCTATTAATGAAAATTTATTTGGGCCATTTCTGTACAGGTGTTGCATTGCCAATGTAGTCTAATGTATAGCTTTCTCAAAAATCATTACATGAACCCTGAGATTGGACAGTGTTTGCAAATTATTTGATCCCTTCTAAAATCAATTCATAATCCTGTGTCTGCATCTGTCAATTTCTTCTGGCTTTCTAAAACATCCTAAAGGTTGCAGTGTCTGTACTGTGATTTTGTGTGTGTCTGTTCAACATTCCACTTACATTTAAAAATGTAGTGAAGAATGTGCATCAGGGTCAATATAGTTATGTAAAAGGTATTCTAAATTTAATGCTTTAATTTATTCCCAGATTTGTGGATAGTGGACTTTCTTATTTATTTTTTTATAATTTCTTAAAAGAAAAGAAAAAAGCCAGGTAATTTGATGGACTGAAATGCTGCTTTAAGTGATTGTGCATCCAGCTCTCTACCTCTTGAAAAATCATTAGCTTGCACTGTGAACACCTACATATACTTTCACTGCAACAACTCTAAAAACTTTGTGCTGAGATTCACATGACTTTTCATGCAATATAAAACATAAATATTTCCAAAACACTGAACAATATATATTGTGAATGATAGCAAAACCAACAATGATTTCTTGCCGCCCATAACATGAGTATCTGTTTCATGGTACTATTGCTCCTAGTGTTATTTGTATGACTTCAGTGGCTGCAGTTCACAGGTGAGCCTGATAAACATATATTCCTATCTAGAAGTGTTTACAATTTAGATATGTCGTTATGGAGGTATTGCTATGACAGAAAGGTCTAAATGATGTTATCACATGAGATTCAATAATTTTTTTCCTCAGCGTGCAAGCAAAGCATATGCCAACAGCACTCTTAGAAGAAATATTTTAATGGGAATTTTATGATTCAGTGCTCTTGGGATGGAGTTGTAGCAAAGAATATGAAAATCTAGAGAGAGGTAATGTTTCTAAGTACAGCCAAGTCTTAAGACAGAATGCTTTTATGAGAAGCTTTTACTGAGATGCAATCATTTAGTTATGATCTCTTACTCAAGAGCTGATGTAAAACTAGATTAAGTTATAGCAAGGTTATATGCATATTCCAACTGACTGATCAGCATGGTAACAGTATGTATACTACAAAGTCCACCTCCTCTAACACATACCCCTTCTCAAAACTGACACTTCCGTTTTATTAATCTTCACTGAAAACCCCTCACTTTTATAAGAGGAAACCGTTACAGAAAGGAAGAATCATCTTAAGACAAGAATACTGGTTGGCTGGCTGGCTGGACAAGCAGCTGTAAGGTCCAATCCCCTTGTCTGTATCTGGCCCACTGTAACAATGCACAGTGTACCTGTGAATATGTAATGCAAAAAGCCCCTCTGAATACTGAAAAGATGCTTAATATGCATATTCTAGCCCCATCACAGCTCCCAGGGTATGGTATTTATCTGGATTATTGCTGTACTCTGACTCTTTCTGACGCAAAGAACAACCTTTCGGGCATTCCTAGCCAAGAATAGCCAAAAATAAGTTAGAGTAGTCAGAAACTGCACTAATTAACTGTAGAAGCCAGAAATTAGGGAAAATCAAAGATCAGAGAAAAAGTGTTTTCAAGGCCAAAAGCTACCTGCATCCTTTTTCTGGTTTTGTTGCAAGCAGAATCCAAGAAGAGTAGATAACTGGGTTCTGGATATTTTGAGACATGGGATATCGTGTCAGGAAGCATGCATAATGCATTGCTATGGTAATGGTTACCACAGTTGGTATCCTTTATGGAAAAAAAAAATTAAATTCTGTATAAGTGTAGTTAGCTTACATAAGCAACTGCTGGTTTAGTCAGAAGTGCCTTTTAGTTATTTATAATATCATAGTACTTGTCATATTTTACATTTTGTGTAGCAAAGATAGCAGTTTACAGAAGTTATAATCTATATAGATGAAAATGCAGGTTATTACCCTGAGCTGAGCAGGCTACTAAAGATACAGTCTTGTCTTTATTATGGCGTACTATACTTAAAATACAATTAACTACAGTATCTAATAACTGATAATGTGCCAACAATGCAAGAAATCCAAATAACAGACAGAAAATACTTTTTATGGTATTTCTAAAATGGAAATCTCCAAAATGACTTATGAAAGACACTTGTTCTGACATCTTTATTTGCTATTTTCTTCTCAGCCTTCATTTTTCTTTTACACTTTTTTCCTACTGCTGACTATAGCCATGGTTTATCTGTTCCAAACTGAGATGAGCAGCTTCCTATCAAGCCAATGCTACTGGACGAATTGAGTTTGATATGACTGCTTTGACGCCAAAAGCCACAAGCTAACTAGTAGTAATTCCTAGGTATGTCGATGCTAATTTTTATTGCTGATGCATTTCAGAAAAATATCAGGTGGTAAAGAAGCACTATAGTGCAATCTGTTTCTCAAAACCTAATCGTCTTGAAGCTTAATAAACATTTAGGATCAGACATAATGTGAATAAAACCTTTCTCATATGCGTATCACCTGCTGTATTAGCTCTAATGTACAAAACATGTTTGCACTAAAAATACATGTAAAATTAGGGGTGGCACCCTTGCAGCAGTAATACTGGCAATGACTTGGGCATGCCGAGTAGCAGATGTTTGGAGGAAGCAGTCAAGGTTTTGTTGTCAAGAAATGGCTGTTCCTGCTTTTCCCAATCCTTGATCGCATTGGCTGAATACATCCTGTCTTGTAGAATACCCTCTATGTGGTGCATAATCCATGAAAATTTTCTCTTACAGAGTCTTCCCACACAAATTTCATCAGGGGAGCAGGATTTGTTTTCTGTTTCAAATGCCACTCTGAAATATTCAGGTGGTGACAAAAACATGACCGTTCATGAAGGAGCTCTGAATTTCCATACCAAGCATGTCCTTAGAAGCCCTTTTGAGGACTACTTCTCTAAATAATCCTTGGAAGCAGGAAAATGTGAAGTACAATAAATGAGAGCACCAGGTCCTGCTTTTTTCTTTCTAGTTGCTATTTTACAGAATCACCTATCCTCCCAACTTTTTTTCCCCAGTCAAAGCATTGGAGTTCGGGAGCTGGGAGGAATAAGAGTAGTACCATTTAAGCCTATGAGCCTATTTTCAGAATGAAGGGAATTGATTTGCACAGACAATTTCTCTGTAGAGAATATGGGGTACAAGCAGTCCTACTTTTTAAAAACACTGCATAGCACTGGCTGCACTGAGGATTGACTGGAATGCTGCTTTACATTTTTACACGAGTTATACTACATCAGTAGTGTAAAGATGATTATAGGTAAGAAATTACAATTATGTTTTAAGTCTGTCATGTCTGGATTTCAGTGATGATACTTCCTGTTCATAGTTCAAGACATCTCATTAGAAATTGGAATATTTTGGATTCCCTACACATTTGTTTAAATATTAAAAAGCTAATGAATCACAGAAACATGGCAATCCTGCCTGACACAGCATGGACTTACTGTATTTACTAGGATTTAAAAGTGTGATTTCTGTAAAGTGCTAGCTGGTGCATCCTCATAAATGTTCTAAAAGTACTGTGGCCCTCATTTCTGTCTTTAGAGGGAGCCTCTGGTTACTCTGAACTGTCTGTTCAATGGTTGGTTGATTTCATTCATCATATCACTAGTGAGTATTACTCACTAACAAGAAATGAAGGAATAGTGGCACATCTAAGGACCTTCTAATATGGAAGACCTCCTTGCCTTACTGCCATTGCCAGCCTGGCCTGGCTTTTCACCACAAAAAGAAGAGAGGGAAGCCTGACAAAGAGGATCCAACCCACTATGAAGCCATTTTCTGTTTTCCTATACTGTTATGTCACTGAATAAAGCACAGTTAGGCAGGGCTTAATAGCTTCTTGGATGCCCTTTAGAAGCATATCTGATCCTTTAATTCTCACCTTCTCCTTTTTTAAGTTTTTATCTCCTTCCATAAGCTGTTTCTTTTCGAGAATAAAGAATTCCAGCCTGCTGGATTATATCACCTATTGAAACCATTCTGTCCCATGCATCTGATCATTGTTGTCTTTCTCTGAACTTTCTTTGAGATTTAAGGTAACATTTTCAAGGTGCAAGCACCAGAACAGCACACAGTGTTCCAGGTGTGAGCAACTGTGCCATTATAGACTGGTATAATTATATTTCCTGTTTTGATCTTCTTTCCTTTCCTAACAATTCCAAACATTTGTATTTTTGGACTGCTGCCATGCGCTGAGTTAATGTTTTTTTATTAAATTGTCTATCACAATCCCAAACTTCACTTCTGAGTGGTAACAGGCAGCTCAGAGCTCATCATTTATTAATAAAGCCAAGAACATTTTTGCCCATGTACATCATTTCACATTTTTCTACATTAAATTTCCTCTGCCATTTTGTTACCCAGTCACGTAGTCTTAAGGCCCATCTACAGTTCTCCGCATTCAGCTCTCACACTTCCTACATTGAGTAAATGTGTATCCTCAGCAAACTTTTCCACCTCACTGCTAAGACCTTTTTCTAATCAATTTTTAAGTTTGTTAATAAGAATCAATCTGCTGCAGAATTCCGCTAATGAATTCTCTCTCTATTGTCACTGTGCTCACATGGTTGAAAGATTGAGAGGGGCACAATTATGGTGCTAGGGAATGTGGTATTCAGCCTGGGTCTGTAGGCTGTTACAGAGCTGTGCGGTCCCTTATTTCGAACTTCATGCATAAGATTCATTTGCAATACTGTACTATGCTTTGTCTCTTGCAATGGGATGCTCCATACCAACCTGATCTGTGACTTCGGGTTCATCTGTGCCCGACGCGCTGGTCAGGAAGGAAGGGGATTATCTGGCATTTCCCGGCAGTGGAATTGTGCATTTTCTGACAAGATTTTGCATTCGCTGAAGTCTTCTTGAAAGGGAGCTTTCTCTTTAAGCAGTCCAGCCTTATGGCCTTTGCCTGTCATATATTACATATCTACCTTCATGTGGTCAGATACATGTATGTTTTATATGTGTGTGTGTGTGTGAATCTTGTCCAGGAAAACTGAGCAAGTGGATCATCACTACTAAATGTTATGATATTGTTACAATTCTAAGCAATCATTCACAGCAATAACTTCAAATAGGTAGCCAAGGTATTTTTTAACAACTGTGATGTAGTACCATCTAGTGGCTAAATTGAATCTGCTACCTTCAGTTTTCAGCATTAACTGCCAAATGCTACATAGTTGTTGCTTGATTGTTATGGTGTAGACCATCCTTCTACTTTTAATAGACATGTAACTTACTGGATAACCTTGCAAATCTAAATATAACAAAGCTACTTAATGTCTGGCTTGTGTACCTCCTTCTCAGACACGTCCTTCTTTTTGAATCCTGTGATTTTTATTTGAAGTCAGAAGATACTAAAAAGATGTCTTTACAGTTTTAAATCCAGCAGTGCTTTTTTTGAGATTTGGGTTGTTTTGGTTTTTTGTTTTTTTGTCAATTACTATTGACTGAGTATTTATTGCAAAGAAAAGTAACTTCTATCTCTAAAGCAAAAACTTTAAGGGAGTTCTAAGCTATATAAAAAATGGCATGGAAAATGAAAAAAGGCCAATTTACTACAATAATTCAGTAAGCCTGATACTGTAACATCTTCTCAACCATCCAGTCTCAGTGTGAATTTACTTTTTGGAACTTGGGTTTTTTTAATTGTTAGAAAACAAAATGTTGTATTTACTTAGCCAGACCATAAGCTTTTCAGCCTAACATACAGTATAGATAATCTAATGTTTACATGATGAAATAGTAAGAAGTTAAATAGAAGCTTACATTTAGAAGCATCAAATTGCTATCTTACAGAAAAATGCAAGAAATTCTTTTGTGACTGCTAGACTATTGTGCCTTGTCAGATAATTGGGTCTTTGTCCTCAAAAGTGCTGAGATTAAGGCCTGCACTTAAATTTTTGGACCATTCTTCCTGTGCTCTTACTAAGTTTCTAATACACAAAATGCATGCCAAAATGCCATAAAAATTCTAATTCTTAAACTAATGATGATGTTTAGAGGTGTAAGATGCCAATATATGGCAGTCCAAATAAATTCTAAAAATCTGCTGCTATGGCTCTCATTTCTTCCTGAATAAATGCTGTTTACATGATTTGCACAGAATTTTTTATTATCTAAAGCACAGCGGTGACTGTTTCCTTTCCCACAGGACTAATAATAAGCAGTGAAATTCTGCCACCCTTGAGCTTTTTTTCCCAGTGCAAAATGTTGAATTTCAAATGTTGAAAACTGATTTATTTAAGAGCTGTAAAGCACAATTCCAATAGATTCATAAAGGTATATCCTATTCAGTAGAACTGAGCCATATCAGGATTCAATCATCAGGGGGAAATCAAACCATAAAGCTAACTTCAAATTCAAATTAATTACTTGAACTGTAAAGCATGTATACATACAAACATAATCTATTTACATGAAAATGGAAAAGCTGTGTGCAAAAATCTCTTGTTGATTGCAATGTGAAAAAAAATGGCTTGTTACAACTGCAAAAATGGTATCGCATTTTCACAGTCTGGATATTACTTATTCTGATAATATATTTGGCAGACATTGTGACACAATCTTTTTTTGATACATTGGAAACTAACACAGATAGGTACTATTAATGTTACTGAGAACTGTCTGCTTCAGCATTCCAGTTCTCAATCAATAACAGAATAAAAACTTGTTGGAGGAAAAAAAAACAAACACAGAAAGCCTGAGAAAAATAATTAACTATTTTCTTTTATGTCATCTGCATGATTTTCATAGGGCCAGCATCAAATCTTCAGTGATGCTTGAGAGATAAAGGAAAGTAACAAAAAAACCCCAAGTGTTGAAAGCAGTACTAATTAATTTGAAGTCATATTCAGGCAATTACTGACCCAACCTACAATTCCTTCAACTTGTTTAATAAAGACTGTCCTTTTTGGAGAGGGTGTTTGGGGAAGAAGGTACAAAGAAGACAATTAACAGAACCAGTTACAATGTTTTCTGATCCCAAACCAGACCAAGAACATATCCTTAACATTGATTTGCAGAAGACGTGCAATATGGTATTTCTGTATGGCATCTTTGTGAGGGTATCCCTATGAAGTCCTAGACCAAATTGCAATATGCAAACCCCAAACTTTCTCAGTTTCACTTGTGTTAAAATCACATTTTACAGTCTTCATCAGAAATGCTGGAGCTGTCTCGAGGGGAAATTGTGAATGCAGAGCAGGTTATCCTTATTAGGGCTCTCACCTTCAAATAAAACATTAAGCGTGAATCCACACAACATTTGCATCTCTAATTTGGTTTTCTTTTTTCCCAAGGTGCTTTAATGACTGAACTATTTAATGGCTATAGTTGGTTGACTCTTTAACAGGATCTTCTTAGTGTCTACAACTGAGACGATTTTGCTCTTCCAGGCACGTAAAGTAACCATATGTACCACCTATTCTGCAGTGCTATGACACTGCTAACTTGTATAAACATAAAAATAGAGCTTTACAATTGCTATAGAACTGTGTAACATCTGTTATTATCTGTATTATCAAAGTACTCCATCTCACAATGATGCTCCCACTAAAATTCGTCTGGAATTTTGTCATTTATTTCAGAGACAAGAAGTTCTTGTCCTTAGAGTGTCTACGTGTCTGACATTTTTCTACCACTGGAAGAAGTACTCTACAAATGATTGAAAATAGTTTCAAATACTTGGAGAAGGGCAGTGACACTATTTTTGTTTTTCTCTTCATGCTCATGTCTTCTAACTACTGCTACGTATTTCTAGTTGCATTCATGCATGTTGTGTGTACTGCTGTATTTATGGATGGCTCTTTCTGTCTCTGGCTGCCTTGTTGATAGTGTCCCTGCAACTGTGGTTTGTAATGTGAATTTATGCAATATGCATACTGGTGGCAGATTTGCTTTGCTTCCAGCTATACTGTTTTCTTTAAAAGTGGGGTTGTCATTTGTTACAAGCACTTGAGACTTTCTTCTCCACAAATACTGTGTTGTGTAAAATTTTCTTCCTGGTGTTTGACACAAGTGTGGCACTTAAAAGAAATTATGAAAAGCCAGTAACCTATTATATTTTTCTCTATGGATGGAGGAGGTAAGTTCAGCATACAACAGAAGTTGTGGAAAGATTAGTACTATTTTAACCTGGTGTCAAGGTATATTTTTTTTCTAGGACACTGGTGTTGGAAGAAAAGTACGTGCTATTACACACCAGTTTGCCTTCTCATTGAGTTCTCTGTTTCCAGTAGAGATAAATACTCCTTTCTAGCTGTGTGATTTCTGGGGCTATATCAGCTTCTACAGTTAACACTGATACACTGCAGGGAAAAGATAGCTCCAGTATCTTTTTTTCCTCTTCCAGCATATATGTAGGACTGATACACAATATACTTTCTTACCATATGGAACATATAGAATGATCTTATAGTGAGACTGCCTGACTGCAAATACTGACACTGTTTTATTCCAGTTGATTTTTTTAGAAGTATCAAGTTATTGCAGCATAGACCAGCTTCAGGAGAGCTTTCGTATTTGTCTCCTACTTCCCTGATGTGATTCTTTAGCTGCAGACACTTCTTAATCATTTTGGTTTTGTAAGTGAATTGTCTTATGATGTTGCAGGACCAGTGCTACAGATTTCATCTATTTAAATCCAAACGGCACATACTTAGGTTATGAATGACTGCCAGTGTCATGGAATTCTTGTGAATGTACATGGAGAAAGGAGTTCTGACTGGGATTTCATTACTTGCAGGTATAGCTCAGCCCATACTGTAAAATTTGGGCCCATACTGTATTGTATGGGCTCAAAAAGACATCAAGAGTCTTCACGTCTTCTATTACCCTTTCATGTTTTGCTGCTACTCAAGATGAACTTAACCTCTTATGACCACAATTTTTTCAATCACTTCACAGTCATTAAGTTTAACTACACTTCTACAAGCTACTGTAATCCATTCCTTAGCTGAAACTTAACAAAACTGACCTAGACATGCAAAGGAATTAGGGCTTCATAATTTAATGTTTATATGCTACTGATGCATCAAAACAGCAGTACAGTTTTTAACTACTTTTCAAGCATTTTTCTCAGAATCTAAGTTTCTCTCTTAGCTGGACATATTTAAATTACCTACCATATTTCTTAACAGCTGATAAGCTATTGAGAGCTCTGGTCCATTCTCAGATAGATTCCTTATTGATTTAAGCAAAGCATGATTCCAAACACACAATTGCAAATGCCAGAACTGAATACTATCTACATAAAATGCAGCAATTTAGGACTTGAAAAAATTTTGTTTGTGTCTGTCCTCTTTTTATGTTCAAATCTCTGAATCAGGGACTTCAATCCCAGAATCCCAGCATGCTTCAGGTTACATGCTGTTCTTATACAGGTCTTCCTCAGTAACATGAACTGTGATACTAACTTACGTTGTCTCTCACATTCCAAGCAAGCTTATGTGTAAAATGCACTTCTAAGCATGTACAGTGCTTACAACACTTTCATTCAGTGTTTCCTTGAACACTGAAAACTTGCAGTGTCATCAATGCACTACATCATTACTGAATACCTGTAGTAAAGAACAGATCCCTCCATTTAGAAGTATCAAAAGGTGTTCATTATACAAAACAGAATCATAGTTTAAAAAACCTATGTAAAATCAGATGCAAATTAAAAACTTGAAAGCATCAGTGGTATATACACTCAGATCAAAACTATGCGACAGGAAATATTATGATTATTAAGGACATTATGACACTGATCATTTTAACCTGTATTTGTTGAATGATCGATTCAGATGTTCCTCAGCAGATGGGCTTCCTTCTTGGTCACTCATCTGACAGGTTTCGTGCAGCTCCATCTCTGATACAGCCCTCAGCTTTGTTTGCTCTGATGATGCTGGGAAACGTCTATGCATATGGTCTGGATAGCAATAAAGAAATTTCTCTAACACCTGATACATAGTTAAAAATAACACCAACAGTTTAATGTAATTCTGAATGTGATATTGTATTTGGGTGAGTGGCTATTTTGGATAAACATAATTTCTTTTGCACCTTTCATAGATAAAGTTATTTCCATATTCATATTTCCAATAGACTTGTGGCTAGACAATTTATAGGAATTTTGGAAATAAACCTGAAGTTCTTACTCCATATAAACCCCAATTGTGGCCACTGAAGAACTGATTTCTTACTGTTTTCACATGGGCAAGTAAGAATCAAATGACAAAAGAGTTCAAACTAGTATTAAAACAACTGTGTGCAAGTGACAGTACATCATTCTCCGGCCCTATTTCACTAGTACAGTTTACAGTTTTTGCAGTGAACTACATTAGTCCAGAGACTAAGTGACCTCTTGGAGTCATGCTTTATTGCCAGCACCTGTCAAATGGTTCTTTCTGTAGGGCATGAAGATAATGGAAACATCTGCCAAAACAGGCAGGTCCAGAAAACAGAAAGTGGACCCTGCTGTATATGCAGTTGATCAATAACGGGGATTGATTCTATTCTGTATGCTCAGTTAGCCTGCCAGAAAGAGTCTGTTTAACAAGTACAGTGAACAGGATGGCACACAACTGCTGTTAGGTGGTCTGTTGAAGCCACATAGCACAGGCATAGCAACTTCTCAAGCATCTAGACAGCATTCCATTGTGATTCTTTTGTCCTATCAATTGCTTTTATAGGGTAGAGAAAAAAATAACAGAAAACTGAACAAATGAACAATGCTCTTCTTCATCCTACCTTTCTGTGTACCTTGTAACAGGGTTTATCAAAATCAATCTATAAAAATCTGAAATGCATGAAAATCCACAATGCATAATCCATTTAATTGAATTTGCAAAACATGCATGCGTGAATTTAAACAGATTATGGCCGTGAATTATTGTGAATATATAGCATATGTTTTTCTTTGCCTGCTATCCAGTATGCTATTGTTAGCAATAACAAATTCTAAAACTAGCTTTGCCCATTTGATATATGCTACTGGGGGAGGGGAAGGAGGAAAGATTTTAATAGTGGCTGAGCTAACGCAGCCCAAGGCAATTTTCTGCCTACACAAGCCACAGACAGACAGAATGGATTGGGGACACTGTTCAAACAGCATCTTTCACTCTTTTGGAAATATGCAGCATTGGCTTTCTCCTTTTTTCTCTGTATCTACTATGATGTTGTCAGGGAGACAGTGTCCTTGATTTGACCCAAGAGCCAAGGCCATCACCCTTTATAACAGTACAACCCCCAAAACCTTGTACCCACCATTTAAGGATTTAAATCTGTTCTGTGACAGGCCTCTGCATGAAACGTTAGGTGCTATAGAACAAAATATCTGCCTGTGCTGTCTCTGCAAGGAATTCAGAGGAAGCCCAAACTTTATTCCAAAATGTGTATTCTGAAAGATCTTGCTTTATAATGTAATTATAATCAGTTGGATTTGTATTTGTATGCTCTTTTTAAAATATGATAGGGTAAAGAGGCCTTAAGTAGACTTTTAATAATGTGGTTGTCCATGAAGTACATTATACATGTATTAAAAACCCCAACAACATTTGTGGACCTCCTTTGATTTTCTTGTGCCATAAAACCGTACCATAAATGGATCATAAAAAGATACACTAAATGGGCAGCTGTTTATAAGTAGATTATGGTAAAATATCTGTTGCCTTCTCAAGTAATTGGATCTCTAACTGTCAGTTAAAAGTAACGGGGTTTTCAAGAGAGGGCACAGACTGCATACATTTTTAAGGTAAACATGGGTTTAGATTTTAATTGTTTAATTTATTAAAATCCTTAGAATACTCAGCCTCACGGATTTCTTTGTGTGAATAGTTGTAATACTAAGGTGTCTAAACCTGTTACTTAACGGATTGGTCAGAGACATGACTATTCTGATTAAATTCTAACAGGACATTCTGTATATAACAACCTTGCAGTTGTCGTTGCTAAGAAAACTCTAGCTCACTTGAAAGACTCAAATTTGGAATATAACAAATAGTAAAAATAGGTCACTACAATATAATTGTAAACACTCTGCACAATTTTTTCACATTGTATTTTCTAATATCTAGTAAAACATTATTTCTTAAGTATGAACAGTGCCTAATGTCCAAATAACATTCTGATTTACTGTAACTGTATTGTTATTTAGTAATGCAATCCTTTTCATGCAGTTGTTTACAGATAGGTATAGTAAATTATGTGACTTACAAGAAGACTGTGAAAGGGATCAATTACCGAGACACTATGCCTATAGAACTCCTCGATCTATTTTTAAATATTTCAAAAATGCGGGGGAAAGTAAAAGATCGGTGTCACATTTCTGAGCTAAGCATTATCAGTAGTACTTAGGAATCCTTTTCTTTATCCTATCTCTTACTCATTAGTAGCAGCAATGTTAATAAAACAGTATTTTGCTACCAGTTTAAACATTTAAAGTATGACAACAATATATATTTGTTTAACGAATTTTGCTTCCCATTATTTTCTTTTCCATAACAAAGAACCATAAAGACAGCAAATAACTCTCTCTTGTTTAGTGAAAGAGAGAAAGTAAACACTAATTATAGCAAATAACTATTAGTGTCAAAGGATTCCAAGACATTACCAATATATACTTAAGCATTTCAGAGCAGTGACCTTACCTTCATAACCAAGGAGAAAGCATGTCAGCAAGTTAGGACAGACCTCCTCCAAAATGGAACAAAAAGCAGCGAAAGCACTTGGGCCTTTTAAAGAGAGTTTATCTAAAAAATATTCCGTTCTCTTCTTGTAGCTTTCCTGAGACCAAATGTCTTTGTATTCCTCCAAGGAAAAGACTCTCTTGTAAACCAAATATGACAGCACTTTGTTCACATCCAGCTCATCCAGTATTTTCTCTCTCTGTTTGCTTGGGATTTCAGAAAGCCACTTACTCCTGTTTTCATTTTCTCTTTTCATAGATTTTGTACAGTTATAAAACCAAGATTTGGCTGTTCTTCCAAACATTTTTATATTTAAAAAGAAAACATAAAATTCTACTTCTGCATTTATTGTGCAGTAGTCAGCATGCAAAGTAAACATAATGTAGATGGATAGAATGCAAATACATACTGCTGTCTCTAATTATTGTAATTCTAATGGAATAAAGAAGGCCTACACACAAATTACAAAGAAATCTAGCTCAATGCCTGCAGACTCCTAAGAGGATTACATTACACTAATTAGCCCTTTACAACTGTTAACAGCTTCTGAACCGTAATGATGAGACTAAGAATTGCTTAGTTACTGTTACTTTTTAATTCTGTAACTGCTCTTCAAAGATATCCCTTTGCAAAAAATAATTCATTCAACAAGACAGCTGATCAAACTGGAATAATCTGTACAAGCTGGTACACAATATAAGATGAAGAGTCATCTGTACACTTTAATTTTGTATTCCTCAGAGGCCATACCCAAACCACAGTCTGAATCTCCTCCACTTCTTATTCTTTCATAAAATATTTGCTTTACAATGCAATGGATTTATACATTCAGAAAGCACATTTCTAGAAATATTTTGTAATCCTGTATGCAAAAGGTAAATAAAAGGTTACAGAATAAGACCTTTTTTTGTGTGAAGATAAATATGCCACATTTTTGCATATCTGGATCTTTAAGACATGTCCAAGCAAAATAAACCACCATATAGCGTCCATTTCATGAACCAGGTTTAACAGTGGAGATTACTGGAATCCTAGTGGAGGTGTTCTGCCACTCATGATCATTCATTGAGGATCACACATTACATAACCTCCCTTATGCAAATGCTACTTAATACAGGGACCTTTTTGGTCTTGTTTTCATATTTTATGTCAAAATAAATTCCCTGTATAGAAAAGGTATAAGTACTTCCTGCCTCCTTCTTCTCCTTCTCCTGTTTCTTAGTCTATTTCTTCTATTTTAATTACTTCTAAAGCATCCATGGTCTCACTCGTGCGGCTTCATCTGCAGTTTTCTTAAGGGTACTTTACCTTTTATGCAGCAAAAAAATATTTTGACAAGCTTTTAGGAAAACAAGTTTTATCATATTTTCAGTCCTTTTGATCTTAGCATGCAAGCACTGTATCCTCCTATCAGGCTGCTTCTGTTTCTGAACTTTCAAGTATTCGTTAGTCAGCATGAAGTTAACCATTGGCCATATAATAATTTAGGTATTTTATTGTGTATAACACCATCTGAACAATTAACTAGCCAGGCTTCACAGAACTGGAAGCATTGCCTGTCACCTTGGGGCTATTTTAGATATAATAAGCCTTGTATGTAACACAGTATCTGGAGTAAGGACGAGTGGAATTATTTGTTATTTTAAGCCACATTAGTGGTCCCAGTTTAGAATGTTATGGCTTATTGACCATAGTGGTGAGATTCTTGTGCTTCTTCTGTAATAGTCTTCAATCTACTCAGGTAGAGCTACCAGTGTATTGCAAGGCATCACACACCACATGAAAGATGACCTTGAGGGAAGATAGCTTGTGAAAGGCATCTGCTATATATCCTAACTATTAGTCAGGTAGCTCAGCTAAACAAGGGTAATAATGCAGTAGGCAGAGAAAGGAGCCAACCTATATGAAAGGCCTAGCACATCCAGGCAACCTTTAAATGTAAAGACTCCTTTATAAGCCTGATTCTAAAGATTTGCTTTGATTTTTGAACTTCCACAGGGGCAGTACAAATACTCCCTCCCCCATTCTTTCTATATTTCCAATGAAACCTCATGCCTTCTTCCCCACCCCCCAAACTGCGTTCTACTAATTTCTCAGAAGGTAAAAGATCGCGTTAAAGCCTAGTACTCCACACAAGTTAGACAGCATCTTATGCCTTCTCAGTCACTCTAACTTCTGATGGTAAGTTTTTCCACTACTTCAGTAAATGCTACAGCAAGGCCAAAATTACAGGTTTGGGGCTCGTAAGACAGTGCCCAAAGATGAGAGGATGTAATCTGAATTCATTTCTGAGAGTTTAAACTCAAAACTAGGCCTATGGGGGTTTTTATTGTTCTGATAACAGATTGTCATCAGTGTCCTAAATGGAGTAATAAATTCTACATGATGTCAGATTAATAATGATTTTTTTTAAAGGAAGCTATAGAGTATGTCCTATTTTTGTGTATGTTCATAGCAGTTCTGCCCATGACAGTCCATCCTCAAACAAGAGAGACCTATAGTAAAGTGACAGACATAGGTGTTGCCAAGTTGCATCTCTTTAGAAAAAGAGCAAAGAATTGGTTCAAATGAAAAATGCAAACTGAAAAATCAACTCATGCACGAGTTGTGAATGCTGACACTTCCCAGCTGCTCAGCCGTCACGAGCACCACAGCAGAGAGAGCTACAAGACGGTATGTGCCCGATCAGAGGCAGGCAGGCAGGCACACCGACACCAACCACCTCCCTCCCCAAGCCTCCCGAGTCCCACTGTGCCCGTGCGCGGACAGTTCCGGAAAGGAGGGGGCGGGCCCCGGCGGCTCCGGGGCGGTACGGAGCGGAGGGGGGGGGGGGGGAGGCGGAGCGGCTGAGCTGGGGGCGGTGTCGAGCACGTTCCGCCGTAGAGGGGCGGAGCGAGTGCGCTGCTGCGGCGGGAAGATGGCGGGCGCGGCTGCTGAGGTGGTGTCTCTGCGCCTGTCGCGGCAGGAGCAGGAGCTGCTCTGGCTGACGGCGGAGGTCGCCCAGCTGAAGGGGCAGGAGGCGCCGGGCTGTCCCGCGACCTGCAGCCCCGAACTGCAGCGGCTGAGGGCCGAGAACGAGAAGCTGCGCTACCGCCTCTTGCACCTGCGCCGCAGTCTGGCGGCCGAGCTGGGCAGGGCAGCGCCGGCGGAGCCCCCGGCCGGTGGCGAGGTAGCAACCGGGGTGCGGACACCCGCGGGGCCCTCCTCGGGACCTGCCGGGGAGGGTGGCGGCCTGACGGGGGCGAGCGCCCGCATCGCTGTGGGAATGGCCAGGCCTCTGCGGGGAGCGGGGGTCCAAGCCCCAGCCCACGGCGGTCGCAGGTCTGCCTCGTGTCTCTGCTCTCCTCGTGTGCCCGGAGCGCTCAGCAGTGCTGCTCCCAGTAGCCCTGCCTTTGCGCAGAGGTGGTGTCATTTCGTCAGACCACCGAAACTTGTGCTTGTGACTCACTAGGCTGTTGTAATCGCCCAGGGTCTCACTGTGAAGAGTTGGCCAGCGGTGGCGGTAGTAGTAAAATTGTGGAAATTGTGTTGGGAAGATGCTGCTTGGTGAGCAGCATTGCCATTCCTGCTGAACATCAGGAGGGTGCAGTTCAGATGTGTTGTGAGAAGTCTTTCATCTGTATAAAGGGCACATATTGCTTGTAATTGCCTTTTTAGCCCAATATTGCACTTACTGGTTTGTTTCTGGGTAAAGTATTAATGATACAGGGGTATGCTTAATATTATAACTGTTTTCAGAAAGTCTCCAGTGCAAGTCCAACTCTTGTGGTGACTCAAAATAAAGAGGAAAAGAAAAAAGAAGCTGTGAACCTACATCAGAATGATGTAAGTGCTTATACCGCATAACAGAAGAGCAACTGTTGTTTGGCTGGGTTCAGCAAAAAGTGCTGAAATCTGAAATACTTTGCTATATTTTGAAATCTCAGATTTTGGGAAGAAGGCTTGCTATAGTATGCATATAGAAAAAAAAAGAGCTTCATCTTGCATGTAATTAGTGGACTTACTTATACGTTCTTATATCTCTACTTATTATGTCATAAAATGATTTGGGCTATTGAGAAATAAGGGTCAGGGTACTGTGGTTCCTGAAGAGAGTGGCAGCTCATGAATAGGTAAGCAGTGTTCATGATAATTGAAGGCAGATGGTGGCAACAGTAGCTGTAGTTCTATAGATCTTAATAATTAGCCTGATGCCAGACTAAAGGAAACTTCCCATCAACTATCTTACTGGAATCTGATGCTTTGAATGAACTGGCAGAAGTGAGGGCTTGTTGGAGTTACCCAAGTTTCTCAGGAATGTCAGCCAAATACAAGTTCTGGGGCAGGAATACAGGCTGCTTTCTAAAGTCAAACTCACAAAGCCATTTAGGCCCAGATTGCTGAAGGTGCAGTGGAGAATTGGCAAGCCATTATAAAATAGCAAGTTGGAGGGGACTATCCTGTGTATAATTATTTACAAAATGCTTTACTGCATAGTAGTGTAAATTCTGGTACAGTTAAATCTGGTCTCAGTTGGAATCTCTAGGGATGAACGAACACTGAATAGTTGTCTTCTGTTTCTTTCACAGCTACATATATGTATGATTTAATTTATTTGTTACAGCTACAGCGTGAGCCAAGCTTCATAGAAGACAGACTGAAGCTTTACGAAGCACTGAAAAAAGAACATGATGCTTTGCTAGCTTACAGAGTGGCCAACCAAAGCAAACCTATCAAAATTACTCTGACAGATGGAAAGGTGGCTGAAGGGGAATCCTGGAAAACCACACCATATCAATTAGCTGTAGGAACTAGGTAACCTGCAGATTCAAGGAGCTGCACTTTTGCAGTGATACATCTGTTACAACCAGTTGTTTCTACTGTGTTGCATAAAATATATATGCCATGGTCAGTGGATGGTGAGTCCGTTAAGCTGGCTTATTTGGAAAGCATTGAAACTTCATCTTAATGCAGAAGAAGCAGCTGGATGAAGTCCTTGATCTGAGTGATACTTGAAGTTCTGTGCTGGGGTCGTAATGCTCACTTCCAATTAAAAAAATGTAATAATCAGTGACACTGCTAGGAATGAGTATAGACATCTGTCATTTTTGTGAGTTACCAGATAATAGTAGAAACTGTTGTTAGTTTTTCTTCCAGGACTGAAAACTGCTGAATGAAACTTTCAGACCGTAAGGGTCTATACCGTAAAAGTAGGAAGACCACAGAAACAAAAATCCAAGGTCTTTAGATGCTATTAGACATGAGTGGGGTGTCACGGGGTTTAGAAAACTAAGTGCTTTTGCAAATCTGAACCTAAATATTTGGTCTTGTGTGATTTGTGGTTTTTAGTCAAGCGTTGGCTGCAGACGCAGTCATAGCGAAAGTGAACGGTGAACTGTGGGACCTGGATCGTCCACTGGAGGGAGATTGTACTCTGGAGCTGCTTATGTTTGATAATGAAGAAGCAAAAGCTGTGAGTAAACACTTGATTGAAGGGTGAAATTGATTGCAGCATTATTTTTAAATCCTGAATTAAAAATAATAATAAAAAAAATCCCCAAACTATTCAAGTAATCTATTTGTCATGATTTGACAAAGATCAGATACTAAGTACCTACAGTCTGTAAGTGAATAAAATCTTGGTGCTCTTTTCTTCCCTTTTACATAAAAAAGTTACTTCTCAAACAAGATCCGTAGTGAATTTCTTTATTTGTATCCTAACTTGAAATAGTCTGATGTATTCTAAGAAATGTTCTATGGTTTGACTCACTGTGTCTGAAGATCAGACACTGAAAGAACCAGTGAGGCTGTCTTACAGGTTTTTAAAAATTTTCCAGGATCAGAGTTGAGTCATAAGTGAAATGTGCACCTCCTTGTCCTAGCACTGTTCATTAGAAACTTCTGCAAGCATATTTTAGTTAATTAAACTATGAATATACTTTGTGACACACCCAAGTTTGGTTTTTTTTTTTAATAGATTCAGTCTTAAACCTGTGTTTACACACTAGGATTAGACTTAATTTTATCATAGAATTATTCATGTTATCAAGCTTGTTTGAGGCGTTTCAGGAGACTGTAAAGGCTTTCTCTTGTAACAGTGACTACAAAGTGGCCTGAATTAATAGGACTTAGGACATAAGACTGGTATTGATCTACTGGGTTGTCAGTTGCCCTCTCCTGATATTTCAGGTAGTGTGCTTTACAGTCCAATTCATAAATGTACTGTACTTGAACAATGGTAACTAATCGGCTACATTGCTTTAGATGTGGTTAGTACTGCATAGGCTTTTAACTGGCTGGAAACTAACTAATAAATGACCAAGGTACAACAAGTACTAAGGTGACAGAATTGTGCCGAGATATAATCATCTTTCAGGCTGAAATACAGTGGGTCTTTATTGCTACATTTGCTATTATATTAGCCATTTAGCACACTTCAAAATGAAAACAGAAAGTGGTTACACTCGCTCAGAATTCAGAAAACATTGATTCCAGTGTATAACCCATCTGCAGATACACCCCTCTTTCTTTCTTTTTCCTTTTTAGTTACACAGTGTCAGTGATCCCATCGCTTGCTCATCTGACTTTATTTGCAGGTTTATTGGCATTCAAGTGCTCATATTCTTGGAGAGGCCATGGAAGATTATTTTGGGGGCTGCTTATGCTATGGACCACCAATTGAGAATGGATTTTATTATGACATGTATATTGAAGATAGGTAAAATTTCTTTAATTTTATACTTTAATACTGTGTATTGAAACTCTGTATTAGAACTGGGTGTGTACATACATATTGAGAGTGTGTGTATGCTTAAGTTCAAGAGCAGTCTTCAGCAGGACTTGCGGCTGTTGAATGTTCTGTAAAAAATGTAGTGTGTTTAGGTAAACTGTCTGAAGTTCCAGGAGATACAGGAGACAAGTTTCTGTGAAGACTCATGGGAGTTTGGTTTCCAGGTGCCATAGTCACTTGTAGAAATAGCACGTATACACTTAACTCATATAGGCATTTACCACTTTTGTAATCCTTGTGCACAGTTCTGTTTTTTACTTGTTTATCTTTGTGTTGTCAGGGAGAGCGCTCAATCTGCATCAGCTGATAACTAGGTCCAGCAGCTGGGTTGAGCCTTTTTCTTTTTTTTAATTCTTTTTTTCCTAAATCAGGTATACTTTGAGTTGCAGATCTTCCAGGCATTTAAATGTTCTGGGAGTGATTGCAGTGGGTTTGTTCATGGTGATGCCATTTGTATTTCTGAGTTTAGTGTCTGAAAGCACAGCTGATTGTAAGAAACAAGAATACCGTGACAAATCACAAGACATTCCATGTGTTTCAAATTAGACCGCTAGAAAGTGGTCATTTAAAAATGGGAATATCAAAATAACTAATTTATATTTCTTTGCCCATGTCTTTTTTGTTTAGAGGTGTATCTAGTACTGAATTCCCACTGCTAGAGAATCGCTGTAAAAATATAATGAAAGAGAAGCAGCCTTTTGAAAGGCTGGAAGTCAAAAAGGAGATCCTCTTAGACATGTTTAAGGTGGGTCTTTGGAGCGGCTGTAATTCTGATACAGTGATCTTTTAGAATTAACTTACATAAAATACAGCATGTGACTCACTCATCAGAGTAGTACCTGTCTAGTAAAGCAAAGGAAAAGAATATCATCCTTTTTCCCACTCTTCATGTCCCTCTCAAGTGTATGGGGTGCTTACAGGCAGTAATAATAACTTTTCCTTACTACACACAAACACCTCAAGTTCAGCGCAATGACCAAGAAATTAATACGCAAAAGGCATACATTCATTCAGGCTCACTTGCAGAGACAAGTCAGGAAAGACTCTTTTATACAGTGAATATTGCCAGTCTCGCTGTACTTTGTTGTAATTGCCTTTCAGAATACTTCGAGGCTATTGGGTAATAATCACGATGCTTAACACATCCTCAAGAAAATGGTATTTTTGTATCTTTCCTCTCTTGTTTTCTAACTCTTCTAAAATGATGTTGAAGTTCTGCTTATGTATATGTGATCATGTGATTTTTAGTTACATCTTTTACTGTTGCATTTGCATTGTTAATATATAGTTTTTCAAATATAAATTTGAAATACAATTTTATTAGACCTTTTATTGATGTTTCTGACTTTTGATGTTTCTCCACACAGTATAACAAGTTTAAGTGTCGGATCCTTCATGAGAAGGTGAACACAGCAACTACTACAATATACAGGTAAAGAAAATCACATTAAAAGGTATGAAATATTTCTGTTCTTAGGTATATTTTGTTTAAATTGAGAGAATAATTTTTTGTGGGGTTTTTTTTGGTGGTGTTTTTTCTTGAATTTGCAGTGTTGCAAATATATACTTAATAGCGGCTTTGAATATGTCAAGCATTAACTTGTTTGCCATTAGTGATGTATTTAAAAATACTAAAGTGTTTTGAAATAAACATTTTTCTTCTGGTGTATAGATGTGGTCCACTGATTGATCTCTGCAGGGGTCCACATGTCAGACACACAGGAAAAATCAAGGCCCTTAAAATACTTAAGGTAGGTTTAAAATAACTGTGCATTAAAACTTAAGTAAACTATGGGTCAGTTTTTGATTTATTTCTGAATTTATTTCTCCTGAAGTGATAATGTTAGGATGCTTTGGATTGTTTTCTTTGCTTATTCTGAAAATAGCCCTTCATTTCTTTCCCAGCTCCTATTGTACAAGTAGGCTTTCATCTGCTTCCAAGGTTTACTGACCTTGGAATGACCATCACAATAGTACATCACTGAAAGTTAATAGTGTTTGTTTTTTTTTTTTGCTGGAGTATTGGTACAGTATCGTGTATGCTTAGGCTATAATGAAGAGCACTGCAAAAGTACTCAAACTAGGAGTAACTAGATACGGTGTGGAACCAGTTATACTATGCACAGGGGACAAGTGCAGTGCGTATGTGTCAGTACTGTGCTAGTATCGCCAGCCAGCACTACCCTTAGTAGTACAATGTCCTACCTCGTGGTAACATTCATCATAGTTGATTTTGCAGATTCCTAACTGAAGTTTATGGAACTCTGAGTTCCAGGGATTGTGTTAGTTTGTGAAAACAGCTAGCATTCAGCTGACACATTGAGTTAGTTTCATTTTATCTTTCCTGTTTTCTTACTGCATTATGTTTTCAATATAAACAATTCGTGCTTTTTTTGAAGATATAATGAGAGATCATAAAACATGCCATGACTTGAAACAAGGTACCTAAGTATAATAAAAATATGACTTCACCAATCACTTCAGTTTGTCTTAGTATGCTGACTAAAAGGCAGTGCAAAAATCTTTGTATTATCAGCAAATCATGGATGACTGCATATAATTCTTTTCCCACAGAGGCTGGGGATGGGGGGTGGAAATCACAACATTTGAATGCATTAGTGTTTATTCCTCCTTTCCCTGAGATTATATAAGAGTAACTGAAGGTATGGGGTTTGTGCATCAGAATTCTTCTGCGTACTGGGAAGGAAAATCTGACATGGAAACTCTGCAGAGAATATATGGAATATCTTTTCCTGATAACAAAATGATGAAGGAATGGGAGAAATTCCAGGAAGAAGCCAGAAACCGGGATCGTAGGAAAATTGGAAAGGTACAGTGTTTCATGGTCTACTTCTCTTTTATGCTTCTGTAATAGAACTAATTCTTCTTTGTTGTTTTTCTTTGTTTGTTTTTCCAAATTTAATTCTATAAACTCAACTTGTTACTTGCATACAGATGTTAAGTTTACAGTGGGAAGAAGTTATGGGGTAGTCCCTTGCTTTAGGAAAGTGTGTCTTGAACATTTTTATGTAGGATCTTTTCAGATCCTATCTAAACTGCTGTATTTTGCATAGAAGTGAGAAATTATTGGAAATAGTATGGTTCTGTCATTCTTTATTATAGGCATAAATAATGTAATAGCTGTGTGTTCGTACATGCAGTACTTGAGATGTCATGGATAGCGTTCCTGTATTCCTCTACTAGATTAAAATGAACAGAGTTAATCTTATTTGAGTGTAAGTCGGAAGACTTTGGACTGACACAAGGATTATGACCCAATATCTGTTCTGTTAGCATGTGGTCTCCTAATTGTTGTGACCTTTGCTATGATTCTGTAGAGACGGTGGATTTACAGGGAGGGTATTTAAGAGAAAAGCAGCTTTGTGAGTGTTTAAGCACAATGGACAGTACAGGTGAAAGCAAGGAAACAATTATTTGAATAACTTGTGTGTGAAGGTCGGCATCATTGGCCAAGGAGATGCAGACACGAATTTCTCATTACTTGCTGGCAGAAGATTACTTCTGTGCCTTTTCAAAACCAAATTGCCTAGTATCAATCAAACAGTTTATGTAGTGTTTATGTATCCAGTATCTATGATGCTGTTGTGGCTTAAGCCCAGCTGGTAACTCAGAACCATGCAGCCCTCACTCTCCACCTTTTTCCTTCACCCCCTGCTGCTGGAGGGATTGGAAGGAGAAAGTCCTTGATCAAAGTAAGCATTACTTAGCAACAAGTGAAAGCATCAGTGTATTATCAGCAGTGTTCTCAGGCTAAAGTTGAAAACACAGAACTGCACCAGCTGCTAAGAAGGAGAAAAATAACTGGTACAGCTGAAGCCAGGACAGATGCTGACGAGGCTGTGGTTCTCTAAAGGTGTATCACAGCCACACTGCTGAGCTGCTGGTTTTGAGGCTCAATTCTGTTAAAGAATGACCTGCTCACAAGCTTAAGCCATCAACCTTCAGATGCGATAGTTATATGCTTAATTGATTTGGTTACTGTGATTAGTCAAGGCTTCAGGATTTTGAGGAAAACTCTTAAGTATATTTACACAGTGTCAAATGGAATTCCACTGTTACTACAGACTTCTGAGAGTAAGAACTAGATATAAATTAGCTACTGTTATTGAGAACTTGTAAACCTGGAAATCATCCTCCTGCTGTAATATTTCATTTCTGTGAACAGTGTTGATGTGTGAAGTAGTCATGTTCTGCAGTTCCATCTGAAGTGGTGTTACAGCATTCTGGTTTTAATTTACCTAGGAACAAGAACTCTTCTTCTTCCATGATTTGAGTCCTGGAAGCTGCTTTTTCCTTCCCAGAGGTGCCTTTCTCTATAATACACTTGTGGATTTCATAAGAGTGAGTATATACTAATGTAACTCCTAACAAGCTTAATATCAGTTGTTGATCTGAAGTGGTAGGCCATTCTTAGCACTGAATTATCCACAGAAGGAGAAATGTCTGTATATATAAAAATGTACCAGATTTTCACTATGGTTATATGGACCTAAACTTTTTGAAAATATGGCAGAATAAAGCTGCTTTTTCCAGTTTTGCAAAACCTACATGTGTAGGAGTCCTTTAGCCTTCCCAGTAAGTCACCATCATAAGAACACAATTAGAGACAATAAGGCTTTTGCTTGTCAAAATATCTATCAACTTTTAAATGTTAAACTTGTTTTATAGGATGAATATTGGAGGCGTAATTTTACTGAAGTTGTATCTCCAAACATCTTCAACAATAAGCTCTGGGAAGCTTCAGGACACTGGCAACACTACAGTGAAAATATGTTCTCTTTTGAGATTGAGAAGGAAACTTTTGCCCTTAAACCAATGAATTGTCCAGGACATTGGTTTGTACCCTCAACTGGAAAACTTATTTTACTACATTTATCTTTTGTGGGGCTGAGGTAAAATGATGTTACCACGTATGTTTACAACAGACTACTTAAGGAACTAGTGTATCCAAAGAGATGCCATGACAGCATCCCAAAGAAGACCAGCTTTAATTCTTGTAGGAGGATCTTTCAGTAGGTCTGCACTAAGTGAGCTAGGTTTATGCACGTTAATAATATTTTGTACTACTAAGCAAACACAAATTGTGTTCAGTAGAGGTAAGCATCAGTTGTGGTATAGCAAATGAAGGTAAAGATGAGCCAGTCTTGATACTCTTTGAGTTTGTTCTAGGTGGTCTTTAGCAATACATTTCAAGTGCTGCACTTTCTCTGTTTTCCTGCCTTTTAGGATGCAGACAACCTAAATGAATACATACTTTAAAATTAATTACTGCGTGTGCTGATCTTGGTTTAGTTTCTGTGTTGTCTTAAATCTTCTATGAGAAGGATAAAAGGAAGGTTCTTTTGTTTTCCTTCTAGCTTGATGTTTGCCCATCGTCCACGATCGTGGAGGGAAATGCCTCTTAGACTTGCAGATTTTGGAGTTCTTCATCGAAATGAACTCTCTGGGACTTTAAGTGGCTTGACTCGTGTAAGGCGCTTCCAACAGGATGATGCTCACATCTTTTGCACAATAGAACAGGTAAAAAAAATACAACCCAAACCAAACCAATCCCCTAAAACTAACCAGCCCTCTCCCCTTACCAGTCATCAAAAAGTGCAAACCTTTCCCCTCCCAGTGCAAACCATCGTTAAACAAGAAAAAAATCCCTAAAGTATTTTTACTTTAAACTTCTTCTGTTGTGTTGCTTTGCAGCATAATGCTGCTTTTGATGGTTTGTTTTGTGAGGTTTTTTGGCTTCTGTCTAGGCTTAGGTGGTTCCTTCTTACTCATCTTAGCCATATTTCTAATGTTCTAATTGCTGAAATCAGTAGCCTGTTAAACTTCTGTTACAAGTTTCTGAAATAGCAGTGCCGTAATCTTATGTTACTTATTTTTATATCAAAACAAAGTTATTTGAGTGATGTTATGATTGTGAATTGCATAGTGAGATTTGCTGCATAGGTATTGTCCCTTTAGAAAAATACGTGGGGCACCTAAATCCCAAAAGCTAAAATTTTCTGCATCTCCCCATGCAAAGAGAAAAAGTTGTCGACCACATTTTGTTTTCTGTAGTAATACTGGATAAATACTTTTCGTTAATAATGCCATAACTTTAGTAGAACTGTGTGACTAAATTGATGTACACTTGTCAGGTCTGACTCATGCAGTTTGGCTCCAGAAGCCCAGGCTTAACAAGAGCATTACTTTTCTTCCCATGCTTCTAAGTCACCCCAACCTCAGTTCTCCTGTCACCCATTGCCTAGATGTGGGTTTGTAGGATGTAGTTTTGTGTGATTTTTTTTTTTTTTCTTTTTAGTTGTTTTTATTTGTTTAATGGACCCATATTCTGATGATGAGGAATTCAGTAAATCCAATAATTTTTTTAATTAAAAAAATTAATATATTTTGTTTATGTTTGAGATTGAAGAAGAAATTAAGAGCTGTCTTGATTTCTTGAAGTCAGTGTATGCTGTCTTTGGTTTTACCTTTCAACTGCATCTTTCTACAAGACCAGAAAATTATCTAGGAGAGTTAGAGATCTGGAATCATGCAGAAAAGGTAATTCATTTAAAACCAAACCTTTAATATTTCTGTTTGCAGAGATGGATATTTAACTAAGTTCTTTCAGGTTGAATAGCAAAATAAGTGAAATTGCTTACATCAGGTGCTAAGCGTTGTCCTTACTGGAAATGCTTATTGAAAAGTGTCACATTACATGCAAAGTTTCTGTATAAAATGAGAGCTTTCTGATTCTTACTTAGCCCCTTATCTTGAACTGGTTAATTTTTATTAATCTTTTTTTCTGATTAATCACATTTGTACAAAGAACTACTTTTATTTCTGGATTATTTATTATAAATGAGTAATTTCTTGACCAGCAGGAGTCATGTTGCATGTTGACTCCCTCTGTATTTCAGAGGCAGATGCTTTGACTTACAGCAATAAAAGGCCTTGCCATACCTTTTATAAATTATACTCCTTTTTTTTTTTTTCTGTGATTAGCAACTTCAAAACAGCTTGAATAATTTTGGAGAGCAATGGAGTTTGAATCCAGGAGATGGAGCATTTTATGGTCCTAAGGTTGGTGAATCAGCATTTTAATACAACTTTGAGATGGATAATAATACAGACACAATGCAGGCAGAGTATATGTAGTAACTGTGTTATTTTGCTTCACAGATTGATATTAAAATCAAAGATGCTATTGGCAGGTACCATCAATGTGCTACTGTCCAGCTTGACTTCCAGCTACCCATTCGATTTAATCTTACTTATGTTGGGTGAGTGGTTAAGTTAAATATATTCCTCTTTGAAATGAAATAATTAAACCCCAAAAAAGGTTAGTTTAAGTCTCCTTTAACTGACATGTACTAATGTTTTGTTGCTCACTTAACAAATGATGAGCCTGTACAGCCGTAGCCTGATGAGGAGGGGGAGAACATCCCTAGCTAGTAGAGGACTCAGTCATGAAATTGAAGGTACTTCCTCAGTGTAATGGTAGGTCACTTTAAATGTAAATGCTGTTGATTGCAGGAAAATTTCCTGATCCCTGTTGTCTGCCAGATCTGAAGACAACTGATCATATATAATCCTAAAGGAAACTCGCTGAGTCAGTTTTCACTTTGAGCCTAGTCAGTGTGTCTCCTTTGAAGACATTGCTTAGAAATTCAAATGTGTCTTAAGGAGCTAGTATGTTTGTAATTAAGTTCTCCATTCTTTTTGATCAGATAAAGTAAGTTAACTTTGAGGAACAGAAACCAAATGTGAACGGTTTTTAATGAAAATCTCACTTTTGATTCTAGCTAGGAAGAGGCATGTTTATCCTCTGAGTGAATTAATCTTAGTACCATGTTGACTTGAACACGCATTTTCTGGGTTGTTTTTCTTGATAGATTTGATTTTGCCTATTATAAAGAGTTAGATGGGGAAGATAAAATAAGAATAGTTGTTTTTTTGATTTGGCTCTATCTTGTACATTAGATGTTCCAGCTCTTTGGTACGTGATAATACTGTTACGAACAGCAGCCAGCTTTTTTTCATCACAGGATTGTAATTTAAGGAAAGACATCAATAGTAGGAGCAGGTAAAATCATGTGCAACCAAAAAAAAGCAAGACATAGCGGAAAAATAAGAACCAAGAACATAAATATTAAAATGCCCAGATGGAGCTGAGTCAGTTGTGTGTCTTTTTAAACTTAGGTGTTTCTGCTGATGCCATTAGCTATAGGCATGGTTATTTTAAGTCACTGGATTATTCGGTATTCCTTTAAAAGCTCAGGTAATTGAAAGTATATTTTTAATAAAACCAGTAGATTTTGTGTAAGTAAAAGTTACTGTATTTTGTCTTTCCATGAAAAGTAGAATCAGAAATGTTAGTAGGATTATCTCTGTGTGAGCTGAGAAATTTTTGGTTTTTAACTTTATTCTTTTTTCAGTAAGGATGGCGATGATAAGAAAAGACCAGTGATTATTCACAGAGCTATTTTGGGATCTGTGGAGAGAATGATAGCTATTCTAGCAGAAAATTATGGAGGAAAATGGTATGTAGCACAAATACACTTCTAAGAGGTGTTTAGCAATCTATTGAATAGAGATCCTCCATTATGCCCCATATATTATAATGCAAAATAATATTCCTAGAATTTTCTCAAAATGAGTAGGTAAGATTACAAGAAAAGAAGTTGAATTTTATGGTCTGAGTTGCATCCTTTTATTGATAGCTCATTAACAGAAATTCAGTTTCATGAGGTTGCAGGAAAAAACATACAGTAAAGCAGAAATAAGAATTGTAATTGAATATATGTGTACTGCATTATTCTTGTTCCTTTCTTCTTAAACATGATGGTATTGTACTGGGAAGGTGTTAGACATATGTAAAGGTGTAAAGTGATCACAAACACAGACATGAATTAGTCCTAATATGTGAAATATTTTTTTAAGTTGTAAGATGTATCATTTCATCTTGAATGAACTCTGAAGGTATTTCTTCGTGAATGTATTTAAAGTATTAAGGAAAAGGTAATATTTACTTTTAGCCACCTACCTGACTGTTCACGTTTCACTATAAAATTATATAAAAAAACCTAGAAATCATATGAAAAAATCAAGTTCTGTTGGAAGTTGTGAATGCAGCTGGGAAGTAAACAGAAGTTCTGCGTATGTTTTACTGGAATCAATATATTTACTATTTTTATGTGAACTTGAGGAAGGTAACCTATTTTTCAACACCCTTAGCTAACATAAATATTTTTATGAAGTAAAGAAATTGTTGTTAGGAAAGTGACTGGATAGTAATGCAAATGTAATATGCATATTTATTTCATATTTTTCTTGTCCTGCTTGCCAGGCCGTTCTGGCTGTCTCCGCGGCAGGTCATGGTTGTGCCTGTGGGACCTACTTCTGAAGAATATGCACAGCAGGTGAGAGTAGGGCCTTCCTTTTTATAGTAGCAAGCAGTTTTTAATAGCTAGGACAAATAATGTTTGTCCTAGAAAAAAGAGTGAATGCTGTAATAATTGCAGAGGCGTATTGGGGGGGGGGGGGGGGGGTGTGTGTAAATCTTTCCATGTAGTCTAAAATTTGTATAAGCCTGAGATAGGGTTATGTAACTTTTAAGTGTGTTGGGTTCTGTAACTATATACATACTTGAGCAATTATTAAAGAAGAAAACATTCTGGATGACAAACCTTGTATACTGTTTCATTACAGGATTATCTGCTTAAAGTAGAGGCAGAGCTGATTTCTTCCATTTCCCAGCATTTATACTGTTGACTACATTATATTTGACCATGGTTGGGTTTACCCCTTTCTCCTGCTTTTCCTTTAATGCAAGCATAAGTGGGTTTGTTCATTCTCTTCTTTCTTATTTCTCAGTGAGGAAACATTTCTGACATTGCGCAGTGTAGCTGTGTGAGGAAATCAAGTATTTGATATGGATGTTACCTTGTATTGTAATCTAACTGGAGTCCTGCTAAACCCTCAAGTGTGTGTGCAGTTTTCTGCCAATAACTTAATGGATTTACAGTGATTCACAAGAGCAAATTATGCATATACACAAATTATTGGAAGAGATCAGGGATTACAGCACGTATAAATTTATGTTGTAGAATATATACTGTAATATTGAGTGGTTTGTTCTTTGTTTTTTTTAGGTTTGCAGCAAATTTTTTGAAGCAGGATTTATGTCCGATGTGGATCTAGATCAAAGTTGCACATTAAACAAGAAAATTAGAAATGCACAGCTGGCCCAGTATAACTTTATCTTGGGTAATTGCAGCACCACATTTCTGAGTATCATTTAAATTTTAATGTCAGGCACAGAGTTTGTCTAGACTCTCGTTTTGTAATGTAGGTAATCAGTTTTATATTGTTTGTGCTATGTCTTGCAGTGGTTGGAGAGAAGGAGAAAGCAAATAATGCTGTCAACGTGCGAACAAGAGACAACAAAGTTCATGGAGAGATTTCAGTATCTTCTGCTATTGAAAAACTCAAGAAATTAAAGAGTTCGCGTATTCCATATGCAGAAGAAGAATTCTGATGTTGCCATTAGGAAAAATAATTATTAGCTGCTCATGTGAAATGGTATTTCTTTCCTCCTGTACAGCAGTTTAATGGATATGCAAAATAGACACACGTAGCAATGTTGGTGCTATAGGAACAGCATGAGAGGACAGATGGAACTGCCAACTCCTTTAACAGTTGCATGGGATTCCAGTCTGTGCAACTTGCAGAACGCTTATTCTAAAAGTCCTACACCTCTGCTAAAGTACGTAGGGTTTGCTATGGAAATAAATCATGAGGAATGGGAGGCAGGGAGCTGTACTGGCTGCTGCTGTGACTGCTGATGTGACCTGGAATCCAAAGCTTGGCGGATGCAGGAGGAGCTTCTTGGTTTATTTTTTTTTCTAACTCCAGATTATATCAAATTTATTTGTGAAGGAGTGGCAGGGAAAACAGCTTGGTTCTTCCTGAATGCGTGTTCACAGGCTGCAAGTACATGAGTGTCAATTGGAAGTATAAGTGGTACAAGGTGCTGATTGAGTTGGCCTGATACTTGGTTCTTGTAAAGGTGATTGCCAAGAATGAAGTTGAATTACCCACCCTATCTGTGTGTGTGGAGTGTTTTATTTTTTCTGGTGTTTGCTGTTGATACGGGTTTTTTCCTAGAACAAGCAAACCTTTGAAAACACTGTAATTTTTTGCTGTATTTGTTTGGGACACTGAAACCACTGAAACAGGGCAGATGACATTTTTAAAACACAGCATGTTTGAATTTACAGTGGCCATGTTTATCTGACTTCTTCATGCTTAGAAATTATTTTGAAGTTACTCTTGCAGGCAATAGAATCAGGTTGTTTTTTTTTAGGTAAATTTTTATGACTTTTTTTGCTTTTATATGCCTTTTTTACTTACAATGCATAGATAATGTTAAATACATTACTCAGTTATCCAAGCTATGCAGCTGTAGCTGTTGTGATTTTAATATCACTGAAATGAAGCAGAAAATGCTACACACCACATAAGTGTTATATAAACAAAAACCTAGTGCTTTACTTGCATGATGGGTGTATGAGATGTGTGTTCAATCAGCCTCTTTTTGTATTAGGTTGCTTGGGTGCCTGTTTTTACCCACTGCGTTTCCCCTTGTTAAAGGAGAAGAAAAAATTAGAGCAGCAAGTGCCAGGGCCCTGTTCTGTTCCACTTCACAGAATTAAGGTGGGCTGTGGAGACTAATTCATGTTTATATTTAATAATATATTTTATATGCAATATTTGATCTATTCAGAATGTAGAAACCCCATGTTTGGTTGGGTTTGGTTGGGTTTTTAGTATGTTTTTCCCCCCCCCAGTAAACTTCTAGGTTTTGCAAATAAAACCTAGGATTTTAGCATGCATTGTTAGCCTTTTATGTTTTGCGACTTTGTTTGGATGACCTGCGGCAAAAAGAGGGTCACGGAGGGATATAAATCATGAAAATAATGTAAGATTTTTGTACAGGGAGCAATAGGTAGAGAGACGGGGCTCAGCAGCGCGAGGAAAGCAGCAGTCTCAAGGATAAAACGAGTCCGCCATCGATAGCATCCCGCAGGCGCTGCTCTGGCAGCCAAGGCGGAGCCTGCCTCTTCCCCCCTTCCCGCCGGGCGGAGCTGCTGGGTGCCCGCCCCTGGGCCTCCCCTCCGCGGCCGCGGTGAAGCCGGCAGGCGGCGGCAGAAGATGGCGGCGGTGGCGGCGCTGCGCGCCCTGCGGAGGCTCTGCAGCATCGCGCTCTTCCTGTCCCAGCTCTACGTTCTCTCGGGCCGCGGTGAGCGCGGCCGCTGCCGCTCTGCTCGGGCTCCCCGGGGCGGGGAGGGTGGGGAAGAGGAGGGAGCCGCTGCCTGCCCGCCAGCGGCCCGGAGCTCCTGGCCCGGCAGGGGAGGCCCGGAGAAGCGCAGCGCTGCGGGTGGCGGCTGTGCGGAGCGACTCGGGGCGGGCCGCGCTGGGAGGTGACCGTGACCTCGGTGTTGAGGGGGACATGGCAGCTGTGCGGCGGAACGGTGCTTCCTGCGGCGGTGCTCAGCGGTAGGGCCCTCCGCTCACCGGCTCCGCTGCTGCTCCGGGGTTAAGCAGCACCCCTCGTGCCGGCTCCTGGTCGTGAACCGGAGCGGCGCTGGGGGCTGCAGGTGCCAGAGCTGCGCTGTGCGGGTGCTGCCCTGCGGGCTCTTGGAGTGCGCTGCCGCCGCTCGGCTCGCACGGAGGCAGGCATGGCTGCGGCCGGCGCGGCTGTTCCAGCGCTGTCAGAAGAGGAGCTGCACTGCTGCATTAAATGGGTTTGTTCAGTAGCAAATACTGCGTGAAATCTGCGTTCTGAGCAGCCCTTTTTAATTCTTATGAATCGAAAAACAAGACCGAGTTGAAATAAATGTTTTATTGTCTAAAAGGAACAATTCTAATGCTTATTTTAACGCTTAACATAAACACTCTACTACTTACAGAACGGGAAGATGAATTTTTTATCTGATTCCTGCACTTTCCATTTGTAATTTCAGTGTGCTAAAATCAGACTGTTTCTGAAGATTAATTTTATACTAGAAATATCACTTCTGCCTTTTTCTTTTTTCTTGTAGCAGGATCTTTGATGACTACAAAGCATTCAGAGCCACAGTCTGCATTTGCAAAAAGTCTAACTTCAACAAGCACAAATACTCCCTATTTTAAAGAAGCAGGTATGATGCTATGTTGTTTCCTTTGTCTTTCTTCTGGGGGCCTTTTTCCTCACTGAATTGAGTTTAATAGTCAAGTTCTTTAATTATGCCGTAGAAACCCCTACATGCTTTCAGTGGTAAACGCCGCTGTCGTGTAATGCTTTATGACTTATTCTCCAGTGACATTAACAATTAGGTTTGGGTAATAGAATTAGAAAAATTGGTCCATATAAGATCTCATAACTAGAAAATGACCAGTTAAGCTGCCATTGTGCTTCATGTTTCATACCCTCTCAGGATGGTGGAAGTTCTTGAAGGACTTCAGCATTCAGCAAGACTGTGCTACTGTTCCCTTTCCAACATCAGTATAGGTTTTATAGCTCACTAAGGGGTGCATTGGGTTTTGCTGAAACACTGTTCTTGCCAGTAATCTAAGAGGTGATTCTGAATGCATACACACAGCACACAGCTGAGCTAGCTGTAAACTTAATTAGACCTGAACTAAAAGTAGGTTGTATGTGTCAGCCTGCTTCTGTACCTAAACTGATTACTTCTGGTGAGAAATCCTGGCTGAGGAAGCACTAATCTCTGTGAAGCTCTGCTCTGGTGCTGCATTGGCTTGTGTTGCTGTGCTGTCCCAGGCAGACCTTCTGTGAGATCCTTGCAAGATTGTGTAGCTCCTCCCTGCTGTGTTTTGTAGCTCAATTGGCTATTGCAGTGTTTCCCAGAACACGACCTTGTAATGCTGTTCACTGGGTAATAAGGAAAGCCCTTTACACAGTGTCAGTCATGTGTATATGTATGGTGTACAAAAGAATATATGTATAAATGACATACGTATATCTAGAACATATGCATACGTATTCATTTTTTCACCTTTCAGAAAGTACAGAAATTCCATCTTATGTGACTAAATGTCCTAGTAACGGGCTTTGCAGTAGATTGCCAGCAGACTGTATGACATGTAACACGAACTATTCCTGTATATATGGGAAGCCGGTCGCTTTTGATTGCAGAGTCAAGCCACATGTTCACTGTGTGGTAAGTAACCTATTACTTTTAAACTCAAATTTAAGTCATTTAATTAAATGTGGCATCTTGTCTTAAAGTACAACATACTGATTTCCAGGTTCTTACATGTGCAGGTTTGCAGCTCTGTGACACACTTCATCATTGAGCCGTTGTTGAAGAGACAGACTTACCCTCCCTGTTTTGCCCTTCTTGCATTGCCTCTTGTTACACAGCAATGCGTTTCAGTTAAATCAGTTAGCTGCCAGTCAAAACTGAAGCATTTCAAGTGTGGGGAGGCTACATGGCCCTCAGAGGTATAGACTGCTCTTGCAGGTGAGATCAAATGAGTCCTCCTTTGGCAGCAGTCTTAGATGGGAGGAAGCAGTAATGTTAAACTGCTTAAATAACTCTTTATCAGTTTTCTAATACTGATTTTTCTATTGTCCTTGAGTACACAGAGGTAGAAAAGAGGGTTATTGCTATTTTGCCCAAAATGTCTACTCATGAAATGTAATCTGATGCTGTACACTGTGGATTTTTTTTAATTACCACTGAAGTGATAATGCTGTCCCTTTCTAGGATCAGAATAACCTTGAGCAGGAGAACTTTACAATTAACATGACCTGCCAGTTCTGCTGGCAGCTTGCAACAACTGATTACGTGTGTACCAATTCTACAAGCTGCATGACGGTTTCTTGTCCGCGACAGCGCTACAATGCCACTTGCACCGTGCGAGATAATGTTCATTGTCTAGGTAAGGTGGGCAAACTCAGATTCTGTAATGGGTAAACACAGTGATTGTTTATGTCCATGGCAGTAGCAGCCTGCACCTTGATGAATCTGTTTTGTTTATTGTTACACTTTAATTTTTAAGCATAATAGTATGTTATGATTATTAGTCAGACATGTAACTGTATACATTGGCTTTTGCTACTGTCACGTGAGAGAAAATAGTTCTTTATCTAATACCAACTGTCTCAGTAAGATAATTTTTAAAAATTAATGTTGGTTTCAGCACCTAATTTTCCCCTTATTTGTTCAGTGGCCTTGCATGTTTTCTGTTGTGGGACATAGACTGATGAACAGGGGACTGCAGAGTATATGTGAGCTTTTGTGTTGACATTGTGTCAATTAGTCTCAACCCTTTTAGACACTTGTTAGAGAAATACTGTATTTCCTTACTCGTTATGTGGCCTTTGTTGCATTAAGGTTTGAATGTTTTCTAATGTTTAGGTAACCGTGTCTTTCCCAAGATGCTCTACTGCAACTGGACTGGAGGTTACAAGTGGTCTACTGCCTTGGCGCTAAGGTACAAAAGAACTATTAGATAAGGTTAAGCTAAAATAGATACTACTACTACTACTAATATTGTGTGGTTGATTTTTTCCCCCCACTTTTTTAATATATTTTAAACAATCAGGGCTGAAAATCCAAGTTACTTCTTGGCATCTGAAATGAAAGCAGCTGTTTTTTCTGAGTTTGATAGCTGTGAGCAAACTGGCTATAGCTGGCATCCATTGGTTACAGCTTCCTTCCCAGCTATAACAGCTGGAAGTGCCTTAAGTAAAGTGCCTTGCTTTTTAAATTATTAGGGAAGAGACCAGTGTAGCAGTTTTTAAAGAAAATAGGTTATTTTTTTTTAATATTAAGCCATTAGAGCTCCACCATAGTGATTTGAAAGTAACTGAATTTATTTCAGTCATAAGACCTTTTTTATTATGTTTTTTCAAAATGATAAATATGATAAATTAGGTGGAGAGACTATTCTTGGAGCCAAAGATACTACAAGACTGATCAGGAAGGTGATCTAACCCTTTATAGCAAGAGTTGTTCCCTTTGCCACCAGCTGGAGAAACTTACTGTTGCTTGACTACTGTTTGGGGCTGAATTTAGTGTTTGGGTCTGTTTCTGTAGTGTGTTTATTGGGGTATTTTTAGCTTCTACCTTAGAAAAGTTGAGAGACATTTCCGAATTTCAGAGTTTGGGCTTGTATTGCTTGCCATGAATGAAAAACTCTGAAGTCTCTGGATAGTATTAGTTAGCTAAGAAATTTTCATCAAAAGCTTTCTCATTTATTAACCTAGTCAGCTATTTTTGTACCAAAAAAAAGTACAATTTCTTGAATGATGTAGAGCAAAACTACTACTGACATGTAGGCATGTTGGAAAGAAGTGTGTATGGATACCCTGACTGAGTTTCTCTAAGAATAACAATGAACAATGTTTTTATTCCTATAGCATCACCCTTGGTGGATTTGGTGCTGATCGTTTCTATTTGGGCCAGTGGCGGGAAGGTCTGGGAAAACTCTTCAGCTTTGGTGGACTTGGAATATGGACACTAATTGATGTGCTGCTAATAGGTGTTGGCTATGTGGGACCTGCAGATGGTTCTCTGTATATTTAAACGTGGGTGCAGCATGTTTTGGAGAGGATTGCTTGGAAGGGGCTCTGAATAAAAGAATGTAGAGGTGTGAGCCTTTCAGGTAGAGTGAATAACATCTGTTTTTCTATGTGCATACATTTTAATGTACAGTATCTGTACTTAGTTTGCCTTTAACTAAGGTAAAATAAAAAAGTGGATCACTGAGCTGAAATGAATTTCTTTTCTTCTATGGACATGCTATTTTTCTATGAAAAAGGTTGAACAGCTAACGCAATTCTGCACCTGAACTTGGATAATCTGTCAAGCACCAAAAGAGATGGAAACTAACTTGAATATTGAGTTGTTTACTTTGTATTTGTATGCTTGAATTTGACTTTACAGCTAACTTCCCTAAATATTGTAGTGATATATTTTTTTGTGGGAGGATAATTTATTTGCCTGAGTGACTCCAGCAGTATGTAGATGACCATGTTTCATGATGTTAATTACATTCGTATCTTGTCTTGGGATATAGCAAGAGCTAGCATTTGCTTAGTGACTTGATGACTTAACATTGTGCAGTTTTTAAAGTTAGACTGCAGTAACACTAAAAGCCAATTATAACACAACTGAAATAGATGTTAGGATCGTCCCAGAATGTTTTTATTCAGGTCGGGTTTGAGCTGTGTGTCAGTAACAGGTACGGTTCATGCAGGTAACTAACAAAAAAGGGTTTGGTGTGTAACCCACGCGTTGATCCCCTCCGGGCTGTGTAACAAAGTAACGTAGCAAACTGCAGTGCCCCTGCGGAAGAACCAAGTGGTTGTTTTCACCTACACCCCGAAGGTGACTGCCGACCTCTCGGCCGGGCGACCTGTTGCCGTGCCCCCCCCCCGTACGCTGGCCCTGACCCGTCGCTGTTGCAGCCCCGAGGTGCGGTGGCGCTGGAAATCGCGTCGCTCCGTAAGCTCGAACGTCAGCGCTGCCGCCCTACCCCTGCACTCTGCCGGGGCGGGGCGGAGCGGGGCGGGCACGGCGCTGGGGCGGGCCTGCCGTGGGCCGGCACCGGCACCGTCATGGCGGCGGAGCGGGAGCGGGACCTGTGCTTCTACCGGCAGCTGCCCAAAGTGGTGAGCGCCGGGGCCTGGGCGCGGGGTGGAGCGGCCGAGGGCGGCCGGAGCTCAGTCCCTCCTTCGGTGGCGGCACCGGCCGCGGGGGCTGCTCGCGGGTGCGGGACCGCACGGGAGGCAGAGGGGCTGGAGCTGGCAGCGCACCAGCACTGCGGCGAGCGGACACAGAGACAGGGAGCTGCTGCTGTTCCTCCGCTGCTGTCAAACAAGCGCTCTTCCTGAGGTGCTTGATGCCACAGAGCACCTGGTAACGTGAGCCTTGGCGCTTCTTGGCGTTAAGTCTGCTTCCAGTTAAATCAGTTGAGCATGATCTTTGTTTTCCCTTTTTGTCCTGTTTTGCCCCAGGGCTAGACTAAGAAGTTTGTCACAGATAAGGCTTTCCCCCCCGTTTCCCAAAGGGTGTGCCTTCCTTTTAGCGTATCTGTGCTGTTCCTTCGTGTGCCTTACGGTGCGTTTATCGGCACTGCTGTTCTGGACTTGAAAACAACAAATGGCACCTTCTGCTGCGGAGAGACAGTACAGCAGGTGCACGACCAAACCCACATCACAGGATGCCATCCTTGTGTTCTCGCGCTCCTTTTCAGTCAGATGGTTTTCGGGGTTTGTGGTTAACGTCTAACTGAATTCTGATGGCTGTTGCACTTGTAAGAGTGAAAAACGTAATGTAGTGGTGTGTATCTGGCCTGATTTCCAGAAGTGGTAAGCAGCTGTAGCACCTGGTATTCAGTTGGAGTTACGCACTTCACTGTTTAAGATGGTCTGACCCCTTTTCCTCTGCTTGTGAACTTTAAAATAGGAACCCAAAATATACTTCACAAAGTTAAAATAACTAAATCTTGGAGACTTAGAATTTCAGCACATTTTCCTATCAAAGGCAGCAGTAGCATCTTGCTAGATTTCTGGTGTCAGTTCCTTTCCTAAGCTGGCCGTGCTCCCATTGAGGCCAATGCTGAGAGGAGCTCACCAAGTGAGAACAGAAGGGACAGCCTCACTTGAACCGGTGCATGCAAAGGTGTGAAGAATCTGTTATTAGCCAAACACAGAGATAACGGTTGCTTTATGTTCAAACTCAGAGTGAAACAATAATGTAGAACACAAGAACAGTGATACAACCTAGATGGAGAAGCCATCCTTTTCACCAGGTTTTTCTTTTCTCTAGGAACTTCATGCTCATTTGAATGGCTGTATCAGTTCTGCCACTATGAAGAAACTTGCGGCCCGGAAGCCAGACTTGCAGATCCAGAACGGAATGACTGTGATTGACAAAGGAAAGAAAAGAACCTTAGAAGAGTGAGTGTACACCCGTGTGGGGTCAACGTTTACTGAGTATCTTCTAATTGAAAGTTCAAGACCAAGAGTTGTATGACTTCATACACCGACTGCAGAAAATGCATTTTCAAGTTTTAGTTACAGGACAGTCTGTTAGATTTTTTTTTTTGCTGTTTGTATTTATAGTGTAACTTCTTAGATGTTTGCAAACTAAACAGATGTTGATTAATTCAGTTTGAAAGACTGAAAATGTTCACTTGTAAGGTGCTCTTCAGCAAAAACCAACTTGTACAGCTGCTTTTTTGGAAACGTTCATGTTTTAGTCTGGGCTTCAGAAAGCTTTATGGTGGTGGTGGTAACGATAACAACAATAACATCTGTTGCAAATGCATTGTTCGCATCTAAAATCAAAATCACCACTCAGATCATCTTTGTATTTTAAGTTCCAAGCTGGTTAATTCAGCACAGCGAACACATGTTTTCCAAGTGTAGGTTTTATTGTTTTAATACTCATTTTGCTGTTTAACCTTTGTCCAATTAATTTTTTAACTTTTTATTTTAGGTGTTTTCAGATGTTCCAGATCATCTATCAGATTACCACTAGGACTGAAGATATTTTACTGGTGAGTTAATTAAAAGTTCACTTACAACAAGCAATACACTCAGTCAGAATGAGTTGGATTAACATCACTGGGTTCCAGGTAACAGTATCAACACCGGTCCCTTCAGTCAGAGCTCAGAATTATTCTTGAAAATTACATCAATTTTGAAACAGAAGATTTTATGTACCTTTTGCATTTAATTTTTGTGAAAGTAGTGAGCTTCCAATATGGTGGTCATTATGACAACTCAGATGCTTGGACTGAATGTGACATCTGTTCCTTGCTACCAAAGTTCTGATTTACCGTAGTCTCCTGTTTCTTCTTTGGTTCATTATGTACCAAAACTGCAGAACTAGAATTGTCCCTTGTTCACTTCAGATGATGAAACTGCCAAGGAGAACTGTTGTGTGATCGAAGTATGGAACAGAAAGTGGTGTCGTGTCCTCTTTCCTCCTATAAAAGGGCTTGCAGGCAGTCTGTTCAACTTGGAGAAGGGTACAGCAGCTGTGAAAGGGGTTTTTATGCCTGCCCCACTTGAGGGGTATTCTGATTCAGACAAGGGAATTCTTATCTGTCCTTACTCTCTTCAGTATCACTGAGGGAACTGAAGGTGCCCTCGGTGGGTAGTATTCCCAGGGATGGAGAGCACCAAAAACACATAGGGCCTGAAAAAGTCACAAGTGTTTCACAGCAAAAAATAACTGTGTCTTTTATTTGCAAATGAAAACATAACCAATTTTATAAGCATTACTTTCATGATGTTGAATATGCTATTTCTTAATCAGATAACTAAAGATGTTATTAAAGAATTTGCTGATGATGGTGTCAGGTATCTGGAACTGAGGAGCACTCCTAGAGAAGAAGAGTCTACAGGTACAGTCTGTTCTGTTTTTTAATTTGTAAGCCTCATGTGCTATGGAACTTAGTTAAGGCTATGTTAATAACAAAACCAGATTTAGCTGGTTCAATAAAAACATAAAGATTTAACTGTGTAAAAGCATGTTACTTTGCTATGAGATTTTTGGGACAAAACTGCGTTGGTTGTAACTGCTACCCAAGAATTTGGGTTATTTGCTTCAGTATGACATCTGAGTCTGTTAACATTTTTAACAGCCGATATATTTTCTTTTTGTTCGTTTTTTAAATTTACATATGGTTTAATAGAAACATGTAAGAGATACCCTCTGGTTCACACTAAGTTACTTTCTTCCAGATATTTAGGAAGAGGCTTAATTCAAATGTATGATTCAAAGTAAAGCTATATTTATAAACACTATTAGAACTATATAGATTAGAAGACTATAGACTAAAATCAAAGGTGCAAAAGGAAACTTATGAGGCTAGAAAACGGGGTCTGCAACATAATGAAACTAACTCAAATATGTTCATTCCAAATGTGTACATGTGTTTGTAGGTATGACCAAAAGGATGTATGTTGAAACTGTACTTGAGGGTATAAAGCAGTGTAAAGAAGAAGGCTTGGATATAGATGTAAGGTAAATAAAGCACACTCCATAATACACAAAATAAAGTACCTCTGTTTCAAGGTTTTGTGTAGTCTGATGCTGGTCATAGCTTGCAGAGAGGTTTACAGACTGTCAGTGCAGGAAAGAAAATTGTTCTTAAACTGGAGCACGTGGAATGGAAACAGTAGAGTACATTGGATGGAACCAGTACTAGAGTACATTGGATGGAAACCTGATTTTTTTTTTTTTCTTTTCACCGATAATGAAACTGGGTAAAGCTTTTTAGCTCCAAGACTGTCCATTCTCTGCAACACTTTCAGGAAGAGCAGTGTGTTTGATGGATTAAAGACTCCTTTATCATAGCCTGGATTTGCAAAGCTTTTGCTTGATCCATTGTGCAAACTACCTACTGTAAAAGCGAGGTAGTCCTAACCAGCAGAAAAGCTTCAGAAGGTGTTAGTGGTTGCTTGGAGGCAGTCTGCTTGCTGTTGTTTATATTCTCGGTAGCAACCCGTGTCAGATTTATTTGTAGAAGCTGAAGAATTCTCATCTTCACATGTGCAGAGGTTGCTCGCCTGATAGTGCAAGCAGTAAATGGGCAGTGTGTTGTTCTCTCCCTCTCATCATGGCTTTTGCATTTCCCAGGCTAACCTGTTTGTGTCTCTCTGAACTTTGGTACCTTCATTCCTTGCACAGTTTCCTACACAAATATTCTTTATACTCAGCCATGAAGTATGTGAAGTGCTATTTTTGTTAGCATCAGATTTGTTGGACTCCTGATGTTACGGCTGGTTTTAACTGAATTGGTACATTTCTCTCCTAGATTGTTAATAGCAATAAATAGAAGATGTGGCCCGGCAGTTGCTAAGCAGACTGTTAAACTTGCTGAAAAGTTCCTTCTTTCCACTGATGGGGTTGTAGTAGGACTTGACTTCAGTGGTGATCCCACCGTAAGTTTTTGTTTCATTTTAGTGTGCTCTTGAAGATAAATACATATTTGTAACAGCAAGCAGTTCTAACTGTTCTTGCCAGCTTTTGTCTGATGTTCGTTGCTGGTCTGAATGGATTGCTCATAATCTTGATACCAGGTTAATCTCGGTTGCTGTAAGGGGCAAGTACTGTTACAAAGAGTCAATAGGTTAATATGGGACACTCAAAAAAGAAAATCAGTGTTTATCTGGGAAGCGTCTGTTATTGCACTGTCCTACTCAGATTGACTGGGTTGAGGCAAGTTAAATAATACTGCAAGCTGTTGCTAGTTTTAATTTCTTTTAGATGCACCAAATGCTCATTGAATGTTAAGAAAACAAAAATGTTTGAAGATAGTTGTCAAGTTGAAATGAAATAGCTCTAAGTGCTAGTTGTGAAAAGGATATCAAAATCAAGGCTTGTCAGAGTCGGGCATCATCTGAACTGCTGATGTTTGACTGATTCGTCTAAAGTGTGTCCATATAGCAGAACAAGATGTGACTTGCTCCTTCAAAACTGAAGTAATGGGAAAAGAAAAGGAACTCAGGGTAACTGTGTTTGCATTAAGTACCTTGATATTGCAAAACAAGCTGTAGAATGGTGATGTATTTCTGTCTTCAAGGCAGGACATGGTAAGGATTTTTTGGAACCACTCTTGGAAGCAAAGAAAGCAGGTCTGAAGCTGGCATTGCATCTCTCAGAGGTAAAAGTTTTCTTTATTTTGGTCCTTCTCTGTAACTCCTGTTTTATAAAAGCCTTGATGAAAAAAAAATTAACTTCTGTGTGTTTTGAATTTCTCAGGCCAAAACAGTAATGGTTTGGGGCATTTAGACAACAGAGAAGAAAACAAGGAGAAATCTTCAGTGATCTATTCTGAATTATAACTGTCAAATTAGTTCTTCCTGTATGAGATCTATGGGGGGTTAGGTATGAAATTGAAAATTAGTAAAATTCCAAGAGATCCACCATTGTGTTCCTGGTATTTTTATTGGAAGTCATGTACAGTAAAATTTGCATGTTTTCCTGACTAGTTCTGTTCGCTTTGCTTCTAGCAGAAAGAGTTGGGCTTCACCATACAACCTGTTGAAGTGGTGGCTGAAGTTCACTCTGATGAGTCTGATAAATACTGAAAATTTTTTTTTTAACCATTTTTTTAATCCCTAGAAGAGGTGTTAAAGGTAGTCCTGACAGAGTAGCTCTGAAACTGTGGCACACAAAGCTTGATCTGATGCCTCCAACTGAAAGTATTTCAGAACAGCAAAAGCGATCGCCTGGTTTTATACTGGTTTAGGATTACAGCTTCTTCAGTTTGTAATTCCAAGCTGAAAATCATTTCCATGCCCTGCTTGTTTCTTTATAGGGAAGTAATGCAGATATTTAGTCTCACTAATGCTTTCTTTTGAATAACATACGCTGTGAAAAAAAGAATTTGAAGTCTGTAATCATTTTATGTGCTGGTTTATGCTGCCTTAACAGAATGTAAAATATATCCTCTCTAGATTCCAAATCAAGAAGAGGAGACTAAAATCCTCCTGGGCCTGCCTCCTGACAGAATTGGACATGGAACGTTTCTCAACTCCGCAGATTCAGAAGAGTTGGTGCTACTTGTTCGGCAGAATCAGATACCCATTGGTAAAAGTTAAGAAAATTACTAGGTGGTCTCTGGATTTCAGAACACCATACGTACTGCTGATGTACTAACTCTGATGTGTCTTTGACCAGGTGTAGCTTAGAACAATGTGGCTGTCAGTGTATGTGAGAGCATTGCCTATAAAGGTGTGCTGGTAACACTTTTGTGATTTTGACATATTTGTGGCAGCACACAGTTGATGTCTCAGATGAAAACAAAACTAAATTACAACTTTTAGTAACTGTGCAAGGCTGTGTGGTGTTTCTGGTTTGCAAGCACCCTAAAATTTTGTACCCAGCCAGTAGTTAAGAAGAAACTGGTTACCTAGCTTTCCCTTGGAAGTTATTACCAATACTTGAAGCATAGAAAATCAAGCAAACAACAATAGCTGATTTTAGTTTTCATTCAGGAATAGAAATATGTCAATGAATGTGTCAGAAACATGTCTCCTGTTTTGGTATCTATGCTTGTTTCTTCTTTCTTTCCCCTGAGAACTTTGCATGACATCAAACATCAAAACTCAGACAGTGCCTTCCTGTGACAAACACCATTTTGGATACTGGTACAATATGGGCCACCCTACAGTGCTTTGTGTGAGTTTTTTTGTTTTTAACCATACATTTAGGCAAAGAACCAGTTGGATGTGTGTATCTCTTTTTGTGGATAACTTGCTGTTTCTGACCTTGCAGCAAATAATCTGCCTGTAGGAAATCATAATGTTCTGTTTGAGAAATGCTTGTAATACCAATTGGAATCTTTAGTATTTCTTTTGGTTTTATGGTAAAGCAAGACCTTTTTTCTGTATAGACAAGATTATCAGCTGTACATGCAATGAACTTCTTAACTGTTTGCATACTGACAGATTTCTCTTAAATATACTGGTCCAGTACTTGCGTGTAAGCTTGTGCTTACCTGGGTATTTACTGCTGGATGAGTTCCTGAGTTTTTTTGACAGCTAATTCAGGTCCTTAAATGTTGAGGTGCCAAGTAATTTTGCTGCCATTGGCAGAATTTTACTATCATCCTGTTGGTTTAACCCCTGTAATTTGCAGCATTTTCCAAGTGTGTGTGTATATATATACATTTTGTGCTTACTATTCCAATCAGCCTCAGTCCTCTATTGTATGAAGTATTTACTATTGAGTTTAACTGTTTTGTAGTAGGTGAAAAATAATTCATGACTAGAGATTATCTTCAGAGATTTTCAGCTGTGAAAAGTTTAGATAACCAATGAAGTCATGCAAGAAAACATGACTTGTGTTTACCAGCACATAAAGGCCTATAAAAACAAGAGTAATAGAAGAAGATACTACAGCATCTTATGTTTTAACAGGATATAGTTAGCATTCTCCTCTACGGGGACATAAGGACTCTGAGTTTCAAATGGATCATCTAATTAAGCCTAAAATAATCCAAACTTGTTCCTTTTAGGTTAATAATCTTTAGGTGGCTTTCAGTCCTATGTTTTTGATGCTAGCCTAGTGCTTCAGTCAGTATCAAGAAATTGTACTAGCTGATACCAAGTGGAGAGGGTGAGACATTTCCTCCCCTGAAGATACAGGAATAGAGAGTATGCTGTAGTGCCCAGATCTGAGGAAAGGGGAAAGAGGAATAAGGAGACCTGCACATATTGGCATAGCTTGAACATATGCATCATTTGATCGCCATCTTTCTAGCAGTTTTAATAGCAAATCCCTATTCTCTTGATAAATTGTGCCATCATTTTAAGAAATTTTCTTGTATGATTGAATAATTCATTAACTTTGAGTGGAAATAGGGCAAATAAAGTATGAAATAATTACCAACAGATGAAAGAACTGTGGAATAAATTGTACATCATCAAGATAAACTGGTTTGTAATGGGTAGAAAAAACCCTTTTTGATGTCGAGGAATTAATTCAACCTTTTTCTTTTCTTTCAATTTAACTCCAGACTGATGATAAAGGCGTCTTTGCAACAGATCTATCGCAAGAATACGAGCTGGTTGCGAAAACATTTAATCTGACTCGATCGCAGATGTGGGATCTTTCCTATGACTCCATCAACTATATCTTTGCTTCAGATGTAATAAAATCAAAGCTGAGGGAAAAATGGGATAGGCTGAAGTCAACTCTGTTTGACTGATCGAACCGCTGCTGTAAACAGCTTGGGTGTATTAGCTCACATAATAAGCATTTTTTTACCGAAGTTCCTGGCTTTATTCAGACTTCAGGTTTATAAATCCATCCCATAAACTGTGCCTGTGCAGAATGAAGACAACAGGAATATGTCCTTTGTGGGAACAGAAGTCAATGTTAAGTAGTTGGGAAGGGCTCTCAACTAGAGACTAAAATTGCAAGTGTGTTGTCATGTTTTTCTGTCCAGTTGATACGGCCTTTTCAGAATGTTCTTAGTTGAAATATATCATCATACTACAATCATCTGGGAGCTGGAGCAAACTGCAGGCACAACTGATAGGGTTTAAAATGTCTCTGTTGGTAACATTATTAAGCAGTTTGTCTGTATGACGTGTATATTTGTGTATTGTATTGGTTTTAAACTAAAGTTTTGAGCCATTGATTAAACATGATGACAGAAACAAACTCAGGGAGAATGAAATATTTGTCCCAAAGGAATAAAATATTGCATCTGTTTTAATTGGTGTACATGTGTGACTGAAGGCTCCTGTGGATGGTGTAGCAGGTGTGGCAGTGTCTATTGATGCACTTAGCACTGGAAGTATTTAGACAAAGTTAGGACTCTTGAATGCCTTGGTAAATTGTGAGCTACTTGGGAAAAATGTTCTAATTCTTAAAATGCTTCTTACATTTGCTGTTTGTTTCTTGGAAAAAAAAAAAAAAACCAATAAACCCATCTTTAATCTCCCAGGTTTTCAGAACCACTGCTTCAAGTGTGTGTGTATCTGAGATGTGCAGAAGAGAAGCATGTGTAACCTGCTGCAGGATTTAGCAGGTAGGAGCTCCTGAAGCAGACGTGCTGTCTGCAGGCACCATCACCTCTGATCTGTCCTGTTCCGACAACAGACAGTGCTCCTTGGTTCGGGCAGGGACAGGTTCACTCGGTGTGTCTCTGCATCTGTATTTTGATACTGAGGTATCGAAATACATATGAAGACATCCATGTGACAGTGTCTAACACTAGACATTGCTACCTGGTGTAGAAAGTATCCAGAGAGAAGGTATTTCATACCTAGAATATTTTTACATTGATTAATTAAACAAGCAAATGTTCTGGGCTCTACAAGGAATACTGAATGTAAGTACAATGTCACAAAAGCTGCGGCTAGGAGAGAAGCTGGTATGTGTGCGTGGTGACCTGAGCTTGCCATAGGATGCTTTCCAAGCAGAAATAATTTCTTTTGGAGGTGGGGGGAAATAATGTGAAACAGAACTGTGATTTCATATATTCTTGTCTGACCTCAGAATAAGATCTTACACTATCTGTAAACAGTACCTGAAATTACGTTCCAAGTAGTTTCACCGATCACATTACCTTTGAAGAAGGCACATTATCACTTGCTGTTTGATCAAGCTTATCTATATTTTCCTTCTAAAAAAATGGTAAATGTATTATTGTTCCTTTTTGAAAAGCTAAAGCTCTCTGAAGATGGGTTGCACACCTTTCTGGAATGCTACAACACCTGTATCTCAGTCTCTGGGTAAGTCAGCCTATACTCAAGTGAGATGGCATTCTCGTGTGAGTATTAGAATATTTTTATATGTTGTGGCCTTCTAATAACTCTTCAATAGACTGTATTTGGTTCATCAGTGAAGAAAAGCTGTCAACATCCTTTTTATTTACTAAAGAATCATCCTCTTATCTACCAAGTGTAAAACTTTTGACTCATTACTGGGATCAGATTTTTAGTTTCAAACTTAGATAGAAGTTAGTTTGATTTCTTATGTTTACATGTTGAATATGACACGTAGATGGGTTCAGTCAGAGAGCATAGTCCTGGTAAATGCTGTTGGTTTCAGCTTCCTTTTTCCCCTGCAAGCATACAGTGTCTTAAGATCTTTAACATTATGTATTATTACATATGGTTCTCAATGTTTCCATTTAATTGCCTTTTGTGTGTCTCCAAAATGCAGCCTTGCATCAGGTGTAGTAGTGTCCCCAGACAGGTTGGTACAAGATGCCACATGGGTGCCACACAGTTTTATAATTAAAAACCCCTCGTTTCATTATTAATGAAACAAGTTTTCTAAATACATAGTGAAACACTGCTGCTGTATGTAAGCTAGAGTTACAGAATTACTCTCCTGAAGACTCTTACCCTGTAACATACATACCTACAGATCACCACTTTGTGTTTAATGGTATTTGTAGTGCCTTGGCTGATAATGGGAGTCAGGAGGTAACTTGGAGGATTCTATTTGTGTAAAGTAAAAGAACTAGAAATATATTTGGGTGTCTAAAGAATGATACACAGAACAGGGCGATTTCTGTATATAGGTTTCTAACTGTGTGTCAGTGCAGTTACTTACACTGCAGAAGTGTTATGTTTAGAGTGGAAATGAAATCTGGAAAGGTTGTGCAGAAGTTTTGGAATGAAGAATCATTGTCTGATTAGAACTTAGCTGTGCACAGTTCCCAAGTTGTCCATTAGAACCTGGGACTTTACCTTCTTATTATCACTGGGCTGTTTTTCAGGAGTATAACTTTTGTAAGTAAAGCTCAGAGATTCCTTCTTTGGCTTAAATTTTCATTTAAGTACTTCTTGCTACGCCTGCTTGTTCAATTCAGTTAATAGTGACATAACCATTGTTTAGTTTACAATATTATATAAAAAGGGCTGTGACATACAGTTGGAGTGAAGCATCACCACTGGAGTAACCATCAGTAATGGCAGAGCACCTCTTCTTCCCCAGCCCGCTGAACACAGTGGGAATCAGGTAACTATTTCTAGAATTTCACATGGTGTAAGATGAGGTTTAAGTATCTCATCAAGTTCAGCTCAACTTACTTTTAAAGAAAACAAAATAGATCTAGACCAAGTTAATATTTTTGTTTATTTCCATCTGATTATGTGAGAGAACACTTAGAGAATAGTCTCTAGTGCTCAGAGTCTCTGTTCACATTGCATGAAAATACACACTTTGGTCCTACTAAACCGGCTGTCTTTGGAGATGTAAGCAAGCAGGGAGCAACTGCTTACTGCATTGTAAGTTTCTCAGAATTCTTTCTGAAACAGTCTTCAAGACTTCTACTCCTTACGATTAGACTGGTAACATACCACAGCTTATCATAATACAACCACTCAACTGTATTTACACACTGCTCATCAGGATTATAGCTTTGCAAACAATGTAGTTACATTAATGATTTATATGTCTGTTTCTATATTTTGGAATTTCAAACTAATACATTAAAAACGTAGTAATGCAGGTATTGGCACTGCATTAGGTAAGTGCACAAGATGATTGAGGCTGTGTCTCTCCTGTGAGAGACCTGGAGAGCTGGAGAAGGCTCAGGGGGTAGATCTCAATGTTTCTAATATCTGATGGGAAGGAGTGAAGAAGATGGAGCTAGGCTTTTCTTAGCTACAGCTAGTAACAGGAAAAGGGGCATGAATGGAAACAGAGCAAGTTCCACCTGCACAGAGCACTTTTTTACTGTGTGGATGGTTGAACATAGGCACACACTGTCCAAACAGGCTGGGGAGTTTCTATCCTTGCAGATATTCAAAATCCTAAGTAAGTGACCTGTTGTGGACCCTGCTTGAGCAAAGGAGGTGGACTGGATTTCATCTCCGGAGATGCCTTCCAACTTCAACTATTCTGGGATTCTGTGAAATGAATATACAAATATACAAATGATTAAGTCTCTGTATGAATACAGAATCTGTTACAGTTAAATACTGACTTATTTCAGTCATTCAAATGACAATTCTTAACCAGGCTTGAACAAAAGCAGTTGCCTGACTTGTAAGATCGTTTTTAAAGAATAATTTACGCTTCCTTCATAGCCTTCCTTCTTTCACATCCGTTGTGGAATCCTTTAGTGCCATCAGGGCCTTTAGGCAGCCGCAGCACCCCTACAGGTAGACCATCTGCTTTTTGTATTTTCTGAACCAATATGGGGCTAGTGATGGGACTCTTCTCTTGTGAAAGAGTTTGAGCTTTTCTTCTCTGTGCCCAGGGGCTACCAGAAGGAGTGATACTGCTATCCGAGGAATAATCTGTACACTTCCTTGGAATTTCAGGGCTAGTGCTTGGGTTAAGCTTGCGGTCTTCAGCCAGAGGAGACTTTTTGGTTACTTTTCTTAATGAAGATGGACTGTTCCAAGGACTTGTTCTGGGTGACACGTTAGGACTCAAACGGTCATTTGTGTGAATGACTGGGCTCAAATTACGTGTAGTATTTGTTGCAGTACTTTTGCGTCCTGACAGTGGTGATGTAGGATTACTGTCTGGGTCAGAAGAGCTGTTTGCTGAAGATTCATCACCAACTATCTGAAGTTCCTCAACTCTCTTATTAAGGGATTTAACCTTCTTAAGACCCTTTCTGGTACCTTCACCACGGTTCTTGTCTTTGGGAACTTTTTTCTTTGGAGGTTTCGTGCCTATTAGGGCAACTTTCATGCCGGTCTCTTTCTTCTCAGCACACATAAAGTCGTGAGCACATACAGCAGCATCTACTTCTTCAAACTCTATAATTGCACACTCCTGAGTTCCCAGTTGGGTGTACCGAGTGCTGACCCTCCTGATATCAGGTGGTAGGTCCTTACCAGGCTTGAGAATACGAACTGATGAAATTGCACCAAAAGTTACAAAGGCCTTGAGGAGATACTCCATTATCCTTTCTTGCATGAATCCATTTTCTTGTTTAAGAGCCTGCAGTTCAGAAACCATGTGGATATCGTACACCAGTAACATCCTGGTAGGGAGGTTTTCGCTTGGAAACACTGGAACTGGAGTATTTCTTCTAACCTTTTTGTTATCATCATTGAGCTCAAGAGAGTCCGAGTACTTCAGTGCGTAGGCTGTGGTTCTCCAGTCATGGGTAAGGTGTTTCACCTTGAAGACAAATGTGTGTTAAGCAGTGCAAGTGATAAAACCCAGTCAAACTAATTACAGAAAGTCTAAGGCAGATGCAAAACCATCTGCCTTAGTCTACAAGGTCTATAGGCAGTCCAAGAACCTGGATTTAAGTTCCATGTAGCACACTTGACTGGAAAAAACAAACTGTTTTCCTGCTATAATTGGCATCAATGAGCTCCTGTAAAGCTCATATCCTGTTGAATTTAGTGAAAATAGAAACCAAAATCATTACTTAATCTTAAAGCCTGCTCAAGTCATGTTCAGAGATTTCATATCTAGGTCTGAACTGTGACCAATATGCATGTCCTGTGGGTTTTATTTTGCGAGATTTGCCAAACAAATAGTATTTCCAAGTTAAGGACTTCATGTATTGAACTAATTTTTCCTCCTTCAAAATTTTCAGTTTAAAAAACTCCCAAACTTCTCCAAGGACTGTTTTGAAGAGTTTATCTGTTAATGGTATAATCTGTTTGGTTTGAAGAAACTGGGAGTGCCTAAATTTTATAGGTTGAATAGCTCTGCAAAACTGTCAGAGAATCTTGACAAAATGTTTATAATGTAATGTTAGGAATCAGTTACATACACATTTACATAGAGGTTCCTACTGTAAAAAAATAAGTAAATAAAACAAACCCACCTCACTTTTAAATGACTTCAGTTACCAGATAGTTTCTATTGCAAAGGTCAGATTCACAATCCCTTCTCAGAGACAAGAGTGACTTTACCAGGATTACTTAGCTTCCTACAAGTAGATGATCTAGAAATGTCTTTTATCCAGTGTCCTTTTTACTATATTCTTTCCCAGAACAATAATTTAAAAGCATAGTTGCTTAAAAGTCTGTGATTTCCCATGGCAATTATGAATGTGTTCAGCAATTAGAGTTCTGCATGAGAACAAACCTAGCCAACACATCAAAACTGAATCAACTGCTGTGAAGCAGATAAAGACAGTAAAACTGCCTCTATAAAATAAGTTACTTTCATTTCATTTCTCCTAATGTTTTAGATTCATCAGGCTTACACAAGGCACTTTCAGACTTAAAACGTTAGCTTACTTTCTTAAAAGAAGTGAGGAGTTTAACACTGACATAGCCCATCTTATTTCTTCTGACATGCTTTAGAAGGAAGGCATCTTTCTCAAGGTTCTCATCTGAGAAGTAATATTCAATCTGTGCTATTAACTTCTGGATCAGGCTATTTTCTGGTGGTTTCCAGTTCTGGTCAGAGTCATCATCATTCTCCCCACCACTGAAAAACAGTTAAATATAATTTTGTTAACAGATCTTCATCTTATATTAGTGGATTCAAATAGGATTTTAAAATTAACAGATGTAACTATAATGCTGATTCCAACTTACTTTATAGGTAGGCACTGAACAGGTATCACCCTATCCATCTGAGGCAGGAGGCTAGCTCAGAGGATGCAGCTTTCCAGTCAGCACAAGGAGTCAAGTTCCTGAGCTCATTCCAAACGATGATCTCAATGTAGAACAATGAGACATACACTAGCATCTTGAAAACACTGCCAACTCAAATCCTATGCCAAAACATGAAATGCAGGTGCACAAGCACTTGGTACTACATAAAGTTCTTCTCACAACAGTGTTATATTTTTCAGTATGAAGCTATTAAATTTAGTCTAGACCTTGATGTGCTTCATAAGTAGTGTCACCTACCAGTGAATTCCAATTTAATGCAATCATGTTTTTTCAAGCCTCTTCACTGCATGAATGCAGGAGCCAGTATCCAGGGAATAAGACAGACTGACAGGACTACCGTCTTCCAGGTGACTTCCAGAGCGACAGAATAACTTAACTAGCAGTTTACCAAGGGGCTTAAACTGTATATTTCAAATTAAGGATTTTAGTGTAGTAGCAGCTCAAGTATCTCATGAAAAGTTGTATATGCACACATATGCAGGCTGCTAAGAAGTCATTTTCATTTCCTCTCTCCCCCTCCCATCATGCTGTCCTAGGGATCTGTGTGAAATGGAGCACTACTGAGCATCCTATTCAGAAAAAAAAAGAAGACAGTGCAGCCATAGATTTGAGATAAACTTCTTGGCACAGACAGTTACAGCAACGTATCTGTTGCTGAAATAGAAATTACTATTTAAATTGTCATCTAGCAGTGAAGCAAATAGTTCACCCACAGACTACTGCCATAACTGTTACTATAAGAACCATAATCATGAGTTTATCTTAAGGCAGTAATTTTTTAAAGCTGTTAGCAGTCTAGTTTTGCTGTGAGGCCATCATGAAAGTTTCTGTTTAAGGAGGAGCCACACATTTTCCCCAAACTGTCTTAAAAGGCTTTTGCAGAGCTTGTGAAATCATTAAGCAAGGGAGCAGGCATCACACTAGACCCCTCAGAGGGCACTCTTGCAGGGAGGATGCAGGCTACTGAATCACCTTGACTTGTGGCAGTTTTGTCCTGGAGACAAACTAGAGACTGTGACTGTAATGCTGACAGATGTGCTGCCCATGCTGGGGTAAAGGCACAAATACTGCCTAGGCAGGTGGTTCTGATACACTTGAAGATGTTCAGGTCAACGGGCTCTGCACAGGGAATGCACTCCCAGGTGTGACAAGCAGCTCTCTGGGACCTGGCTTTTTGATGCTAATAAATTATTTACATTATAATGGTTCTTCTGATGATAAGGCAACACATTAGGGTATACATGCATATTCACTCACACAATCCTAGAATTCTCCTTGTTAAATTCTCCCTAGCCACTTGACAGGTACAGTTCAAAGAAATGACAAGAGTGAGAAAGCGAAAAAAAGGATTTATGTGACAATGCTGGAAGTGAAGGGTAACAGATGAAGTTATGATTAAGACAGGAAAAAAAAAAATAAATTCAACTGTTAATGGAGCTGTGAGTGTTGGTTTCAAAAGGAAGAAAGAACAAGGTTAAGTGTTTGTTTTTCATTCATTATATTCCCTGACGTTACGACTTATCGTTTTCATTCACTGTGGATTCAGAACTAGTATTTATAACATTTAGGCATTTTTATGTATCCACACTCTGCTAAGAAAAGCTGACCTTTGATTCAGGATGGAGTTTACAGGGTTTTTTTAGAGAATTTGCATGTATTTGTAATGCATGTTTGCAAAGATGAGCTCTTACAACAGTCCTCACTAAGTACTCTGCAGAAATTCCACCTACAGCAAATGCAGAAATTTGTAACTAGCTCCGTATTAATTCATAGTAATGAACAACTGGTAGTACCTCTAGGGTATTAACTCTACTGCAAAGGTAGTTGATAAAGCAATGTCAGTCAACACTGACACACACACACAAAAAGCGTCATTCACAGCTTTCATTTACTTTGTTCAGAGCTTTGTGATGGATATGCTTGTCAAAACAAGACAGACTGAAAACCAACCTTTTAACACCATGACTCATCTGGCTACACAAGAAACTAAACATATCTGTATGGAGAATAGATTTGGGATTTTAAATATCAAGTGACATACAATATATTAAATTTTCTGGATAGGGTTTAACCTTTTGACAAGATTTTGCTGAGTCTCCAAAAGAATAAGGTATTGTATTAATAAGTACTATGTGGAAACGTCATTTACAGCATTAAGTTCCAACTGTCTCTCTACAGTTTTCTGGCACTAAAATCCCAGATGTGCCTTTTACAAGTAAGATATTCTAGTAGGCATCAAAGCAACTTTAGGCATTGGTAATCAACAACTGCAAGTTATTAAATATAGACAGCACTATTAGCATTATCAGTAAGATAAGTGTTGAGTCGATTATAAAGTGGTAGTTTCTCCTGCATTTAAACTGGTCTTGAGTTCATGCCTCGACAACTTGTTTCCAAACCCACCAAACGGATCTGGTTCTCCATGCCTTAATTCTACTGAAGAAAAACAAAATCCAACGCAAAACACACCACCAACCAACCAACCCGAAAGCTCTTTAAAAGGCAGTGAAATGGAAATGTCGAGGACACCACAGCCCGGCACTTCCCGCTGAGTGGAAGCCATGTCCCGCTCCTCCCGCAGCGCCGGACAGCCGCCCACAGCCTGGCCCCGGCTATGGCCGCGGGGAGGGGGAGCACTCGCGGCCCGGGGGGGGAATCACCGCCGCTGCGGACAGATCCCGCCCAGCGGCGGTCCCCGTCACCGCTGGAGGACTTGCAGCGTCTCCCACCCTTCCCCACTGGCGTTGCATCAGCTGCGGCCGCACCGTTACGTGGGTGGCGGCGGCCCCGCTCCGCGAGGCCCGCAGAGAAACGCTTGCGCCGCTGGGTCCCTTCCCCGCCGGTGCCCGGCCCCCGGCCCGGCGGGCTCACCTGGAGCGCCCGCACAGCCCCGAGTCCTCCTCGCTGCAGCTGCCGCCGCCCCGCGCCGCCGGGCACGACTCGCTGCCGTCCTCCCCTTCTTCCTCCTCCTCTTCCTCCTCTCCGGCCGCCAGGACTGACACTCGGATCTGCACGGGGCCGTTCCCCGCTGCCAGCTCCGGGCCGGCGTCCCCAGCCCCGGGCTCCGCCGCCTCGGGGTCCCCTGTGGTGGCCGGCTGTCGCTGGGCCATGCCGGTCAGGCTCAGCCGGCCGGCGCGACAGCAGCGATACCCTGGGCTGCAGCAGCCGTCACCCGCCTCCCCTCCTCTCCCGGTCCTCTCCTGTAGAGAAGGCGGCAGCGCTGGGGCGGTGCTCCCGGCTCCGCTCCCCGGGTGCTTCCCCGGCGCGGCAGCGGGAGGGTCCGTCCCTCCTCCAGCGACGCTGCCCGCAGGGCCCGGGCAAGCCGCCCAGCTGGAGTCTTCAACGCTGAGCACTGAAGTGGGACTGCTTCTATTTCAACAGAAAACAACGGGCTCCGCACCCGAGAGCTGCGTCCCAGGTTCGCATCTGCCTGTACTGCCTCGGGGCTGCACTTCGATGTCCGGACTAGAGTGTCACGTTTTAAGAAATTCAAAAAGGTGATGCCAGGGTGTAGTTTTAAATGCTTAAGGTAAGATTTGGGAATCAGAAAACCGAGTGAACAAACACATGACTGGATATGTTATTTTTGTAGAGAACTTCTCCATAATTCTTCATGGTACTTACACAGAATAAAAACATTCCTCCGTAAAAAGTTATTAAAATAGAGGCCCCTTTTCTCAAACACTTACATATTGATTTATTTTGAGTGTAAAACTACTGCACTATATTTCAATGAACTGTTTCAGCTCTTAAAGTGAAATCAGCATTTGCATTTTCAGGATTAGAATCTAAAGCATTTCAATTTACAGTGTAAATATTCATTCTTCAGTCAGGGAAGCTCTTTCTCTCAGTATCAGCTGAACCTAGACTGCTAAATGCCGGTTGGATTTTTTAAGTCATCGCTTTGTTTATGGCATCCTTGGTTTTGTGTGTGCAATCTGCCTGTACAGATTACCTGAATTGTACTCCACTGTATTGCTGCAATGTTTTCGTCTTAAAAGTCTGGATGGACAAAAAGTGAGACTGCACTCAGACGCCAGTTCTCATCACTGTGACAAACAGTCCTCATGAGTCAGATGTGCTGGCATGACCACATACTGGAACTAATGCTCAGCCTCACTGGTTTGGCTTATTTTTTAATATGCCTTAAGCAATGAAATATTTTGTTTATGAAATACACTTACACCCATCACTAACCACATCTCTTCTCTGCTAATAGAACAGCATTTTGTAATAAGCCTTGGGTAGGACATCACTTCAGTATTGATTTTGGTGGGAGCAGAAATACAAACACAAAATACGCATTTTATGAGATGGTACATACAGGGATTTGGGGTCTGATTTTGTATTTGAGTTCATGGGAGTTGTTTGCCTCCATAGGTAGGAACAAGGTCAGGACTGGTATGAGCAAAGAACTATTTTATTCTACAGCTAAAGTGTTTGAGAGAGACATTTCAGTTCACCTGATGACTCCTTGTGTCAAGGTTACATGAACTTGATTTTATAGGGAAGGACATTAGATCTGTTTTTTTTTTTGCTTTACCAGCGGTCACTGCACAGAATTGGTCTTTGGCCTCATCGGTGTTTATAGTACATTAATAACGTTGAGAGAATTAGCGTAGGCAATTCACAGCCCTTCCATACACAGCCACGCCGTGGCTTTTCCAGCCAGTAAGTTCTTGATGCGTGTATTAAAAACGTCCACGACCCACCTGTGGGTCTGGCAGGGCTCCAAGAACTGCCGTGTCAGCCCTGCCCAGGACTGAGGCACTGACCCAGAGCGACCGGGCTCGGCACACTGCGGGTGACCGAGAGCCCAGGCTCACCACTCACAGCCTCCCATTTCGTGACAAGTTGTCGATGCAGAACAGGAACGTGGACGGTACGTCCGGCCTCTTGCTTTTTCATACACAGTCACTTGCGTTTACAATTCGGACAAAAGTCTTTTTACTACCGGGGGGGCGGGAGGAACCGCCACGCACGTGCGAGACCTCCTCCGCACCCTCCCGAACCCTACCCTCAGTCCCGTACCTGAGGCCGCCTCGCCGGAGCAGGCACCGGTGACAGCAGGACGGTCATGGTCCCTTGCACCGCCTCACGGCTTCCCGCCATTTCCCGGCAAGCGAGGCAGGGGTGAGGCTTGCCGAGAGCGAGCCGAGCCGGAAGCGGCTGTTCCCCTGGTAACGGCGGAACGATTTCCGACAGGGGCGGTGGCTGTCGCGGAGGTGTGAGGTGCTGAGGTTCGCATGGTGCCCAGCAAGTGCCGGCCCAGCAGGGGCCCTCGGGCTGTGCCCGGCCCGGTAGGTGCCGCTGTGAGGGAGCGATGCGTGACAACCATCTCTTTTCCTCCCCTTCCTCAGCCGTTGGTGTGCGGGGTCAGGACCGGTGGTGTCCCGCGGTTGCGTGCCGCTCTTGGGCGAGCCTCGTCGCTGCTTAGGAGGGTGGGCCCTGGGCGGGGTAGCGGCGTCTCTGAGGGCGCGGTCCTGCCCCGGTGCTGTGGGGCCGAGTGTGGCCGGCCGGGCTGGGGCTGGGGCTGGGGCTGGGGCTGAGGGCGGCTGTGTGCGGGCCTTGGCGGGAAGAGGTTTGGCGGCTGGCGGAGCCCCATGAGGGTTCACTGTGTCGTGACTGGCTTCCCTTGCGTTGTTTGTATGCCTCCTGGCATTTGCTGGGAAGTAGATCTATAAGTCACTTGGCTAAATATTTCTGTTGGACCTTTTGATTATTTAGAAGGTAGGTGCTGCATTTTGTCATAGAAATCTTATTAAAAGACCAGTACGTTTTGCCTTAAAAAAGGTCTCATATTTAAACGTAAGCACTTGCTTTCCTCATAATGAGGCTAACATAGCCATGAAAAACATGCTTTCAGTACTTTTTTGAAACTAAAATAATTAAAAAATAAATTATCTAGTGTTATGTAGTGTAATTGAAGTATTCTTCAGAATAGTTCTTTCTTGGGCTATTTTGCTGTTGTAAATGCCTACATCGTTAAAAAATACTAGATCTTTTTGTGTTGATAAGTGTTTTTGAAAAATGTAATGTTCTGTGTCTTTTCTTCTGACTTGCAGGTTAATAATTGTGGTCTTCAGCTGGTTATTCAGACCTCATCAATAGCAGATAAAAGCAAACCAGTAATTATTGCTTTCTCTGTAACAGTTACAGTAATTAGTGCAGTCGTATTGTGCAACCAGATTTTGTAGGCTTTCAGATGAGAATTACCTTTTCAGTAACAATATGTTGATTTTTAATATAATATCTGATAGTATTTTGGTTATTTATTTCATCCTATTAAAAAGACACAAAGTAAAACCACAGGGATGTGCTATAGCCTGTTGTAAACTTTATATACAGTTTCTTATGCTTTCATCTGTACTTCTGGCTCCTGTAATTATGATATTCCTTAATGGGTGGTGGTTTGGGATTTTTTCCCCTTTATTTAGTCTACTGCAGATGAATGACAAGGTAACTGCAATGTTTCTCTTTTGGTTTCCAACAGTGAAACTGTTCAGTCATAGTATTTCAGTAGAATTTTTACTGGTTTTACTGGAATAGTAATTTTTTTTAAGTGTTTGCAAGGTTTTCTTAGAAAAAGCAGTTGTTAACTAAGGTTGTGCTTGTTTAAAGATGTCATTTGCATTTGAATAACTTAACATTTGTCTTGTTACAGTTTGAATTTAGGATAAATAAAGAACAGTCATCTTTCCACAACAGACTTCTGCAGCATGATCTGGAAAAAAACTATTTGGGAAGGCAAGGTAATATTCAGTAGAGTTTGGTTTGTTTGTCTTTTGTATCTCTCTTGATTAACTGAATAGTAAAGAAAGACTGAATTATGATTAGAATATATGAGTGACACCTTTGCCTAATTGGCTACAGTAGTTCAGTATAATTACTGCTTCATCATGTCCTGAGCCTGTTATCCTTCTACTGCCCAATGCATATGGTTTTTCTTACCACTTTTTGTCCCTCATTGCATCCATGGAAGGATATCCTTTCTTCTGCCTGTAAAGCCACAGTTCGTCAAGTGCCCTACGATACATTCCCTCAGAAGCCACACAGTTTTCTACTGTAACATTTTATTGTGTGTTTAACAAAATTAGTTTCTAATTCCTAACCCTGATATGAAGAAAGGGTTTTCCTATTGTGCCTGTATGCTTTTGGCCTTGGAAAGCAAGATACTTGGTGATACCACTGCTAACTGGTGAAGCCTGAAAGAGCCTCGACACACAATGCTTCTTGACACACTGCTGCTTCTCTGCCCTATGAAAACAGTGATTGACTGGGTAGCAGATCAGTTTAATTACTATGACAATTCTTTATTCTTTCTGGTAAAAAATAAAGATGAACAGCTGTTCAGGGTGGGTTGATTTCTAGGGATGTTATGCAACTTATGGAGTGAATGTAAGTCTGTGGTTTGATTTTGTTCCCTGCACAGGAGACCAAAGATTATTAAGTCCTTTGGTGCGTAATAAGCAGCTATATCTTCCAGTACCATCCAGTCTTACAGAACTTTCTAGTTTGGAGTTGAAGCAGAATACAGGTTCTTTATCAGGATTTGGTGAGACTTCTATTCACACACCTACAAAGTCCAGATCTCGACAAAGCCACAGTATCAGTTCACATGCTTTAGGTAACAGTGAAAACTTCTCTCATCTTCTTAGTCTTTCTGGTTTTGTTCTTTTAATACTGGGTGTCTTATTAAAAGTTATCACCTATAAGATGTGCTTTCTCTGACTGTCAGAATGTACAGCTGAATAGCAAGTGTTGCCTACAGCTACCTTTGAGTGTTAAGAATGGTTAATAGATCATTGTTGGGAAGCCACTAGAAATAATTTCCAATATATAATGTATGCATTTAAATACCAGCTTTTATAAACCCTTTTTCAATGAGAGGGCAGTAATAGGGATCTTTCATACATGTTTTTAGGAAGATGACATTAGAAGATGAATGTCACTGTACTTGCCATCAGGTCATGCAATCAGGTCATGATTTTTAGGTCTCCATTTCCAGTTTTAT